GTCACCACCTCCACAGGTGAAAGTATTTACCAATTGATATCAGCATGTTTTTTGATCCTTCATTGTGAGTGTTGTCGGACAACATTTAAACATTTCTTGTATTTTTGTTGTTGATTAAAGCTAACATAGAAATAGCCACACAATGCTGTACATGTTACTATTGTGAAAATTCATACCAGATGTGTTCTATAAAAAGCATCAACAAAGTTAAAGCAAGAGTTTCATAAATAACTTAATAGACATTATAAACTACATTTATTTAAAAAAATTACAACACTGGATTTATTAAATACTGTAGTGTACAATTTACAATCAACTGTAACTATTTAAAAGATAAATAAAATACAGTTGTGGATGAAGTTAAAGCTGAATTTCACTGTCATATGTAAATTTGATTAATAAAAAGAAGTAGTTGAATCAACAGTGCAACAGAATCTTTAGAAACAAGTATAATCATTATTCATCATGAGTCCTAATGTGTGAGACAGTTAATATTTATTTGCTCCAGTAACAATCTCCCTCTAAATAAGTGATGCTGTTGGAACAGCACACTGATATTAACTATAATGGCTGAGGACTATGAAATATGGACTCTAATGTTTTAAACTATTGATAATTTGTTACAGCTACAGTGGAGTCCAAAAGTCATCTGATTGTATGTCTGACATGGGGCAGAGAGTGTAATAAGACAGTGAGGGTGTAGGGAACAAGGAAGAGCATAGCTGTTAAGACTGAACAATGTTATGGCCACAAGTGTTACATTAAAAAATACTATATTATCATATAAGACACTGTGTTTATGTTTGGGAAGATGTGTGGAAACTGCAGGCGGAGGTGGTGCAGGGTCTCCATCATTGCTGTAAGAGGTTGTAGGTGTCCCCAAAGATCCAGACCTTGGCTGGATGGAAAAAAACATTATAATAGAGGGAAATCATATCAATATCATAGTATAGAGAAAAAGACAAAATAAACAGCACTCTGATTAGATGATCACAGATATCTGAAAATACATTATTCCCTCAGCTTAGTTGTAATAAACAGTCTGCTGAACCGTTTTACATGAAATAACAATAGAATAGAAACTAATACTCAGTTTGGTGTCATTGTGCAGGTGCACATGTCATGATGGTTCTCAGCTCTCAGTGATGTTCTTTATTCTGACAGAGACAGAATCATTCCAACAGATGTTTTGACTCCTGTCATCAATAATGAAATGAACTAGAGCTGAAAACTAGCCGACTAACACTGAACCAAACTTAATATGAACAAACACGACACACACGTCCGCTGCTCTGCTCTTTAACAGCACGTCCAGACACGACAGTTAATTGTAATAACGGCATCGTTTAGTGACCGTGACTTACCGACATTGACAACCCGCTGTCATTGTTAACACTAAGTTTGGTAACGTCACCTTAGCTTTGCAGAACTAATTTTAAAACACTTTATAACATGTTTTCCCTTGGTCCATGGAGCGGTTACACCACATAGCTTACACACAGTCAGAGCCACCCCTCACCCCTCCCCAGCTCCACCCTCTCCTCCAAATATCATTTCTTCAGGTTTCAAAAAACCAAAATGGCGTTGGCCAAAACGGAAACTCCTGGCTTCAAAAGGGCAGTACACAAACCAATGGGTGACGTCACGGTGGGTTGCCACTTGGTTCAGACAGGTTAATAGGATAAAACTGGTTCAGGCTATGTATTTGTGGGTAAAGAGAATCGGTGTAAGAGGCAATAGTCATTATTAAGACTCTAATTGACTCCACTTTGTCATTAAAATAAGGTAAAAACATTTCATAATCAGCATTACTTTCTGCTGGGGCACAGGGAGGAGTTGGATTTAAGAGGTGGTTGACTGTCTTGAATAAAAATCTAGGGTTGTGTTGATGGGTAGAAATAAGATCTGAAAATAGTGTCTTCTTGCATCCTTGTCCATATCGTTGATGTTGATATTATCATCTTAAGCACAGCATCATATTGTGTCACAGCGTAATTTCTAGATGACCACTGAATGGCCAGCTTAGGTTTTATTAGCTCAGTGTCAGTGGTAGACAGTAGGAATCAGTGACCATCAGTCACTGTGTGATGTTTGAACCAGTTTTAATGTTGGAAGAACACAACGGTAGTTTTATTAGCAGGCAGTGGAGCAGGGTCTGAGTGAAGGCCTTGGGGCAGCCTTCTCTTTCTCTACCGTTATCCATCTCTGCCTTCTGCCGTCTCTGAGAGTTGGGCACCTGGAGGACTGAGCCAGGCTTACACCAACCCCACAGAGCTTCAGTCCGACCTCAGAGGTAAACATTCCAGAAGAAATGAAGGTTTGACAGGATCCAAGCGGGGTATGGTTCTGTTTTTCATCTGTCTTCAGGAACTGACCCTGACCTTAGAAATAGATACAAATAAATGCAGTGGCATGCGTGTTACCCTCACTTGCAGAAGTGGTAATTTTACAACTAAAATGTCATAATATTTTGAGAATAAAGTGGTAATTGTAGGTTCCGTGTTGTTTTAGAGGAGAAATATCAGAAGCTTTAAAATGAGGAACGTGGAGCATCCTGTTCTACTTTAGCAGAGGTTTCATATGGAGATACTTCATCTTTTGGCTCATCATCATCATCCTCAGCCTCAGGACACTGAAAAGACGGTGAAGAAACTGAGTCTATTCTATACAGACAGACAAACAGCAGCTGCCAGAAGCAACTCAGGCTGACATTGACTGTCTTTTCACCTGTTTGATTGGTTGATGTTATATTCTTAAAAATTCGTTTTTTTCTCTCAAAATTTGACATTTTTAATTCTTGTAATATTGTGACTTGATTTCATGGCCTCTCTCTGTTTCATTTCATCTCCTTCTTCATCAGTCTGTCACTTCTGCTCTCACTCCTTCTCTTCTTCACTCTTTCTTTTTCCTTTCAACTTGTATGTTTGATTCCCCTGTTGCTCTGTCATTCCCTAGCTGTTTTATTCTTCCATGCTGTGCCCTTCCCTTCACCCTCAACAGTTTGTGTGAGTGCAGACTGATAGTGATGTGTGTGTGTCTTACCCACTGAAGTCATTTAGGCCTAATGATGCATTGAGAATTGTAATTCTATATTGAGTGAATCTTAAGCAGATAAAGTACGATGGACTGTGTGTGTTGAGGTGATACACCCCTCAAAAACAACTCATCTCAGATTTATTCAAGTAGTATCTGGTTATAAAGAATCATCAAGTCCATGATAAATTTTAAGGTGGAAACTCTTTTCCACTATGTATGGACAGTAGCAAATATTTTTGTCTGGACTGCAACAGTGGGTCCCAACCTATAATTGTGAATGTCGCTGACTGACTGACTGATCACAGTTCTACCATTGGTCAGCCGAATGCCACATGACTAAGTTGGAGTTTCCCCATTGGCTGTAGCTCTTTCAAAATGAATTGGCAAAAACAGTTTCTATTAGGTGGATGTTTACAGCCTGCAGTGTTGCTAACATAGAACTGAAATGAGGCCACCTCTTGAGGAGGTCTCAATTCGGCTCACTGAGTCCACCTCTCAAGGTGCTCCTCAAGGCCGCATTGCGGTTTGCTAAACTTGTGCATTGTGAAGACAAAGCGCTCCAGGTTCTCTTTGCCTTTTGCTGTTGTGTTTTAGTCCTGCTGCAGACACATCACCTGCTATTGCACTGGGACACCTGAAAAAATGTAAAGATGGAACCATGGCCCTTTGATCAGGACAACGTCTACCGTGAGCAGTGAGAGGAGGGGAGAAGCAAACAGATATAGAGATTAAATCAGATCACACTAGGCTGAATGCTAAATAACCTACAACATGGTCTGGCCATATACTAGGTTTTAACTTAGTCTTTTTAAAGAAACATTAAATTTGAATGTGAAGTTCAGTCTTGACCTTGGGAATAACCAGTTTTACAAAAATCTCATGTCCACTTACTGGCTTTTTCAAGAACTCTCAACCTCACCTGTCAGTCTGCACCAGCTGGTGGAATTTGCTCTGTTCAGACATGAGTTAGATTAAAAACATACCGAAGTAACATCTCAAAAGTCATCTTCATGACGGCTAAGTTCATGTGGGAATGAAGAAGCTGGTTAGTGGACTCTAAATTTCGATTTCTTTGTCATATCAATAAAGTTTTGTGTAAGTCATTTCAGTGGCAGATTGAGACTTAAAGGTGCTAGATCTACATTTTTTCTATTGCTACATAGCTAACATTAGCATTAACAGCTGTTTACTTACCAGTCTAGGAGAAATGCTCATATGTTCAGTAACGGCAACATTAACCCTGGTTTTTCTTCTATTTCTATCACTTCTTTTCTTTGACTCCGAATGTGGTTTCTTGCCAGGAGCGGGAAGTGGTGATGGTGGTGGTGATGGTGGTGATGGTGGTGGTGATGGTAGTGGTGGTCGCTTGCCAAGAACTTCACCCATTGTTGTGTTTATTGTTCCATTTTCAACATGTCCTCTGATCAGCTACTTCTTTATCCTCACTGAGAGCACACTGGATGCCACGGGGAATCACTACCACCTCTTGAGGTACAAAGTGGTGTTAGGAGATGGGACAGGATGGGGCTGGCTGGCTAGCATGTTAACTTCAGTATTTCTGCAACACAATACATCAAAACTGTTATTTCTTCACATTTAGTCATTTAGTAATAATTTTATCATTTTTTTCATGAAAAATTATTCTATACTTTTTCTATTGTATGATATATAACATACTTTATTTGCTTCTTGAAATAAACAAAATGAGCACAAAGTTCTGAATGAATGGTGATCTGCAAAATAGTGAAGTTCAGCAATACCAAGACAATTTGAAAGAAGGGGGTTGGACTGACCTCTTGTCCATGTAGTGATTCTAACTGAGTGCATTTTACTGTTGTTTGCTTGAAGAGTTTCTCATGAACATGATCTTGTTCTGTATTTCTGCACAGGCCCAAACTGGAATTCCTCTTCCTGTGAGGCAAGGTGAACAGGTTTTGATCCCATCTGCTCCTGGTTTGTTTGTGATCCTGTTGTAGTCCAGCTGGATCCAGATCATGGAGCGCCTTCTGTGTCTGCTGCTCCTCAGCTCAGTGGCTCTGAGGGAAGCAGTCGGTAAGTTCAGATTAACACACACACACACACACACACACACACACAAATGTGGGTTTTAAGGTGGCTTACAGAGCCAGTGTTGGTGTTGATAATTAACATTAGAACCAGGTTTACTCACATGTTCCACTTAATGACACTGATTCTCTTATCCAGGCAGAAGAGTTTTGTAGCCAATCAAATTATCACTCTACACTTTTTGTCACGTCATTTACGGCTGCTTCATGTACGTTATCATTTATTTAAGTCTGTTTCCATCAAACTTGGGTCAAATTGCAAATTAGCATAAAAACAGATGAATGGAAACAAAGTAAAGTTACTGTGAGGTAGCCTCACCTTTCTCCACCATGTTGGTATAAATGACATCGAATTAATATTTTGAGGTAGATTCATGATTCACGATCTGAATCAGTCTCCTCACAGATTTAGTTGAACTCATGATCACATGACTAATTGTGCACACTTCAACTCAAAGGCCCAACTCACAAATCTCTGTATCCTGTTTCCACTCTGGTTTTATTCTGAAAATCCTGACTGGAAGTTGTGATTTGTATCGCCACTTGCCGTTACTCTTCACTCTGCTTTCTGTCTCCCGGCCTTCAGGCAGGTGTCGGCTCCCGCGGACAGACTGTAACTCCTCTATGTTGGACTGCAGCTGGTGATGGTGGTTCTTGTTCTGTTCAGGTGGAGAACTGGAGGTGGAGCTACATCACTGCAGAGCAGAACAAGGACTGCTGTCTCCAGCTGTAGTTAGCGGGCTAGCTAGTAATCAGATGCTAAATGGCGTCATTGTTATTTTGCAGCCTTTCCCTGATGTTGTCTAACAAGACTAGGTCTAAACCGAGTATCTGTCTGGACCTATGGTCAAATCCTGATTTTATAACTGTGACATCGTCTGACAAAATCACCAAACACATAAATGAAAGCCAAAGACTGAGCTGTGATTTCAGCTGGATTTACTGTAACATGATCACTCAGAGAGAAAGGTAGAAGAAACACAATATCTTTCTTTTTTTTTGGGTTATTTTTCAGGCTTTTGCCTTTATCTTACTCATAGTGAGAGAGAGAGAGAGAGAGAGAGAGAGAGAGACAGAGAGGCAGAGAGACAGAGAAAGGAGGATGACATGCAGCTAGGGCCCACAGGCCAGACTCAAACCCGGGCTGCTGGGACAAGGACTAAACCTATTAGCACATGCTCCACCAGGTGAACCACCGGGGCCAGAGACAGATTGTCTTTCTTATTCAGTCTCTCACACACACACAGCCTCCGTCTGGATCCACAATAGTTTATTCTTTATTTCCTTCAACTCCAGAATGTCAGACTTTTTTTTAGAGGCAGGTCTTTATTGATTTATTGTTGAGGTAACATAGGGTCTAACTGTGTGTGTGTTTGTGTGATTGCAGTGAGAGAGCTGTACACTCACACACACACAACTCTTGTCCAAGGTCTTATAAACATGTTTTCTGCCGTGGGCAAAAAGCCAAATGAAATATTTGAAGGATCAAAGAAGTTTCTCTCAGATTGTTGCTGTCTGTGAAAATCAAAACACATTACACAAAACCATGAGCTGAGACTGAGTGTACACAGCAGAGCTGAGTCTGCTCAGAGAACATCTGCACGATGGAGAGTATTCCTGCAGAAGGTTTTCTTTATGTTTGTGAAGTACTGAAAACACACTGGACCCTCCACCCCCACTCTGTCACAGACTGTAGCTATGTTTGTAGCCAAAACCTTCTTTAAGGTGTAAATACAGCAGCAAGCTTCAGGACCAACTTCCCTCCCCATCAGAAACAGAAACTTCAACGATAACGATGTGAGCGTCCACACCAATGAACAATGACACTGCCAGCTCCAGCTGTGTCACAGCCCCAAACTAGATACTGATGACCTGGCACTCTGCACCTTAAAGGAGCTATATGTAAGTTTAACTATTGCTACATAGCTAGCGTTAGCATTAGCAGCTGTTTACTAACCAGTCTAGAAGAAATGTTGTGAGTTCAGCATCAAACTTCATTCCTTTACTCACCAACAGCTGTGTCCAGAGGTGGAGACAAACGTCAGTGTTAACTCTTGTCTCTGTCACATCTTTTCTCCTACAGAAGTTAGCATGCTAACCAGCTAGCCCTGGCCCGTCTCCTCACTGTAGCCTCCAGTCTGTCCTGAAGACGTAGCTGCTCAGAAGGAATATTATAACCTCTTGTCTTGTAAAGACAATGATGGTTGAAGCTCTTGTCAGGAGACAATCACCATCACCTGCTCCTGACAAGAAACCAGGTTCAGCAGCAGAGGAAACTGATAGCTCCTTTAATTATACTTTTCTCAAATCCATTTTAAGAAAAAGAAAAGTTTTAGATGAAAAAAAACAACAAAAAAACACCTCCATTTCATCATTGCAGTACTGGAAAAATATATTCTATTGAGTGAATTACTGTTTTCTTTTTCTTTTTTATTATGATGGTTTTATTTATAAGGTTTTGCATGGACTAAGAACAGAGGGCTGTGGCACATCTCATCTCAAACATTAAGTCAAACCAGATCTGTGATCACTTTTAACTCAGTATGCAACCAAATGAATTTGTCTTTTTATGTGTTTTATATTTGTAGTAGTGTATTGTGAATTGTAATGTTTTTGTTTTATGTTACCTGCTCAGGGACTGTGGATGTAAATTAGCATTTTTTTATACTGATGTTCATTAACATGCATTGTCCCTATGGAATAAATAAATAAATAAATAAAATTACAATACACATTACAGTACAAACTTTAGTTTAACTTTAACTTTACACTCTTTACACACACTGCATCGCTGATTGGCTCACTGACACTAATGAGATTTACTCATTTACTCCTGAGGTATTAAATGAGACATCAGTCCTCGATAGTATCAAACGAAGTTGGTTGGTCCATAACAGTGTTGAAGTTTGATATCCGGCCCTACATAAAAGTACCTAGGTGTCAAAAGTAAATGACTCATTCTGTAGAACAGAGTTCTGTTATTATATTACATGTGATGTTGGATTATTATTACTTATTATTAGCATTTGAATCTTATAGCTGGTTTAGAGATAATTTGAACTACTTTATATATATTGAACAGTCTTATTTATTCCTGTCAGAATTTATATTTGCAGAGCTGCTCGTATAACAAATATTATATGAATATAAAGTAAATGAGGAGGTAAATGCCAAATATCAGCATAATGTCATCCACTGTACCAAAGTGATGTAAAAGTGATTAAACTTAATGTCACTCAATGCTTGCCCACTTAAAGTAACTCAGATTAGCCTATAAAAACACTTGTATTAAAAGTTCATCAAATGTTGTTAAATATGATATGTTATTATCACTGCATATGATAAGAGGACCATGCAGTTTGACTTGAGTACCCACCATAGAAGTAGTGTACATATATACAACCAACACAATAATAAGTACTCTGTAATTAGATTTCATGTATTTCCATCATTTTCTCAAAAAGTTAATATTCTTTCAGCCTTTTACAGAGGTTATATCATATTTACAACACTATCTACATTTGTGTTGTTGTATTAAATGTTGAGCTGCTGAACAGGATAAAAGATTAGTGGCAAACCCTCCCAGAATGGGGTCGCTACTGAATTTGTAAGACGTTGATCTTGCTTGTGTTTTTCAGCGTGTCTTTTATTCTCAGCTCATTAAAGACTGATTAAGGAAAGAACACACTGAACTGTTATGTAATGTTTGTTGGTCATGTTAGGAACAGGTAGAACAGGAGCAAAATCAAACACTGCAGAAAACAGATCTTTACAAGTAGAGAGAAGCTGCTCTCTTTTCTTGATTGTGACAAAGTGACTGAAAACAAAACAGACCAGACATCTCAGCTTCAAACGTCAGAATCATGGGGTTAAAACTTGGACAAAGGACAAGAGGTTAAAAGTTGTGGCTGACAGGAAGTAGTGTCTAGGACATTACCTAAGGTCCTCCCCGTCAGGAAACTTTTGGCTCTGGGTTTGTTGTGTAACTTTGTGTGTTGTTAAAAAATTTTCCAGGTGGAGATGTGTGTGTGTCAGGTCATGACAGCGGCCCGGTGTTTGAAGAACAGCCAAGTGGCACAATTTACCCAGAGGGCCTGAGTGAAGGCAAGGTGACCCTGAGCTGTCAGGCCAGAGCAAGTCCAGCTGCCTCCTACAGGTGGGTAGCACACACCCACTTACACACCTACCCCCCCCCCCCCACACACACACACACACACACACACACACACACACACACCTTTAAAAAGTCTAAATTAAAGTGGTACTTAAATTTCAGTACCACTGCTGAGAGTCAGAGAAGGAATCATTTTGATTGGTTAATCCATTTCAGGTTAATTTAAAGAATGATATCATTAGGAAGTGGTGAAAAAATGATGGTAAATAAATCCAGGTCATGCTGGTTTCCATCATACTTTGATAGGTTGTCCAGTGTGAGAGTGAAACAGGTATTTTATTTTCAAATATGTTTCACTCAGCCAAAGAACGTTCAGTAAACTGTTGTAACAGTGCTGATTTTCATAGTAAGACAGGATTATAAAATTATGTTAATGTACATTTGCGGGTATTACAGTTTTTGCCCGTTGCTTGAACACATTTTGCAAAACTTCGCTCATTGTGCCAAAACTCTACACACAAGTAAACATGACACAACACTGGGAAATATACCATTCACATCTGTGTCAAATTGAAACTCTACTATCAAAACCTAAACTCTGCTATCAAAACCTAACAATCCTTTGTCAAAATGTAACTCTGATGACAAAATGACACACACTTGCATCATATGCATACACTTTCAGATCAGGGGGAACACACTAGTCTACTTTATATAAAACACTGCAGTCTTTGATTTTCACTGTTTATTCAGAAGGCACATTTTCAGGAGGCACATTTTCAAACAACCAAAAAAGCAAATAGGCCTACTCAGTATTGTACATTGCAGCACTGTACATTGCAGTAACATGAATTCAGATAAAGAAAAAAAAAAAAAGAAAAAAACACTATACTGTAAACATGGCATCATGGCAATCGTGCATACGTGGGCTCATGGATCCTGCCGTCTGTTGGGGTCTGGCCACAGGACCTCATTGACATAGCAAGCAATGTCTTCTCCCGCTAGGCACCGGGGAAAATATCCCCTTGCATGTCGAAACCATCCATGGTTTGCTGTCACCTGAATGTCGCCACAGGCCTGATCCATTGCCTGCAGAAGAGGCATGCGGGCATGTGGTTGGCGGTCATATACACGCCATCTCCAAGCCGAAAAGAATTCCTCTATAGGGTTTAAAAATGGTGAGTAAGGGGGCAAGTATACCACTTCAAATTGATTGTGGTTGGTGAACCAGGCCTGGACCAGAGCAGCCCGATGGAAACTGACATTATCCCATACCACCACAAACCTGGGCTGATCTGGTCTGTTCTGTACAACTATATTATGGAGAGCATCTAGAAATGTGAGTATATGTTGGGTATTGTATGGACCTAGTTTTGCATGATGATGCAGAAGCCCTCGAAGGCTTATGGCGGCACACAATGTGATTTCCCCCGCGCTGCCCCGGGACGTGCACAATTGCCCTTTGGCCAATTACATTACGACCCCGTCGTCTTGTTTTGCTCAGGTCGAATCCAGCTTCATCAATGAAAACGAATTCATGAGGCTGTGCAGCTCCATCCATGGCCAAGATTCTCTGTAACAAAAAAAACAAAACATATTACTACAGTGCTACACATACAGAACCCCCACCCCATCACACAGGTACCTGTGTAGCTCTCCGAATGGATCCATGTGGTACTGATATGGTACATATTCAGCTGCTACTGGATTTCACCAATACTGTATTGTAAATGTAAAGGACAGTTACACTTACCCGTACATATTCACATTGAAGTCCTTTGACCCTGACACTTCCTCTCAAATGGGACCCTGTAGAGCTGCTTCATGGTGATGTTGTGTTTTCCCAAGATGCGTCTGATGGTGGTGATGCTCACATGGTTTATGTTGTTGAACACTTGCCTGTCTGCAAGTACTTTCTGTCGTAGCTGGTGGAGACGGATGGCATTGTCTGCCCTCACTAGGTCCACAACGGCAAGTTCCTGCTGTTGTGTGAACAGGCGTTGGCGTCCTCCCCCAGAAGGTCTTCTAGTCATTCTAGAGAAATACAACCACAAATTGTCATTGGTTTGCTTCTTTTTCTTACAGTACTATATATACTGTACTTTACTGTATATACTGTATCATCCACTGTACTGAAACATCTCAATATAAGTAATCATGGTATGTTTCACAAAAACTACCACTTTGGCTGCAAAAGGAGCATTAGCACCCTGCAATACCCTGTACACGTGATGTGGTAATGTGATATACTGTAGTACAGTACTGTAAATACCATCTGAGTAGAGTAGAAGGTAGAGAGGTGAAGACATACCTGTTTTCCAGTCGGAATGTTCTTATTACAGATGCCACTGTGAAGCGGCTTAGATGTGGGTGGACTCTCTGCCCAGCTTCCCTCATAGTCAGGCCATGGTTGATGACATGGTCCACCAAAGTTGCTCTTATATCATCAGAAATAGGGGTCCGTGCATGGCCTCTTTGACCTTGACCTTGTCCTTGTCCTCCTCCTCCTCTTCCTCTTCCTCTTCCTCTTCCTCTTCCTCTTCCTCTTCCTCTTCCTCGTCCTCGTCCTCTTCCTCTTGCTCTACCTCTGCCTCTCGCTCTCCCTCCATCCATGCTTGCAAAGTTCTTGAAATGGCTAAACTGAGGGCTTTTTGTAGCTGGCTGATTGGTGTTCAGTTTTGCAAGTAAGTGCCTTCAGGTGTGTATTTGAGTGGTTGCAATTACCCGATGTGTTTTGTATTTTGGATACATGTGTTTTCCAAATGGCACCTTGAGATTTCATTTTTGAACGAAGTGTCTTATGTATGAAATAGTGTGTAGTATGCAGGACCAAGTGTGTTGCATAAAGGAGTAAGTGTGTTGCAGAATTGCAACTAGAGTACAAAGCAGCGTTTTTGTTTAAGGTATGGGTACATGTGTTTGAGGTATGGTAACAAAAGCTTCAAGTTGTGTTACTTTAGTCTAAGCATGGGTCTATAGTGTTCAAGCAACGGGTAAAAACTGTAAACTGGTGATATGAAGGTAGAATCCTTGAACATTTTCCAAGTTAAACAATTGAAAAAAAAAGAGAAATACAATTAATAAATAAATTAACAAATAATTCAATGATTACAATAAATGAAGATTGAGAAAAATAACTGTAAGTGCTGAATGATAAATAAAGAAAAGATTAGAGTTTTTTTCAGTTGCTAACAAGCATTGGTCAATACTGAATATACTTTTTCAAAACTCTTCACACAGTCTGCATTACAAACATGCATCTCAGCTCAACAGTTCATCTCACCTCAAAAACTCTTTCTCACCAACATGCTCAATAATTGTGGCCCTCATCTCATCAGAGACCACAGCTCTTGGTCTTCCTCTCCTTCCTCTTTTCCCTCTCCTTGCCATGCTTCTCTCTCCACCAGCCTGTCCTCTTTGATCCATATTTCAAAAAAAAAAAAAAACATTCAGAAGCCATCCCCTTTTATCTGCGTGCTACAGTAATGAGGCCAAACACAGGTCACCTGCGTAAGTTTTCACCTGCAAACTGCACTCAGCTGTGTTTGGAATTATTATTATTTAATTTTTTTGTCAATATTATGATATTATTTTCTATAGATTTCAATGTGGCTGCAGCAGGAATGCAGACATTTTTTTTCCCATCATTCTGTTTTGATTGTGTTTTTAACTGTTTTGAACAAAGTGTGTTAGCATTTGAAAAATGTGCTGCAGAAGTATAGTGTTTTGCAGGTGGTGGGCTCTGACTGAGAAAGGAGTTCATGAATTTTGGTAACTGTGGTCACTGAATGCATTTTGTGTGAAAGCAATGAAAAGTGATGCACAGTTTTCTCCACATAGACTTCTGTTTTACTATTGGTATTTCACATATGTTAGAAACATACATCTTCATATATCAGAAGATGTATATGTGTGATAATAATATACTGTAGGTGACACATATTGCAACATCACTGTTGATATAGGAACATATATGTCATATATTACATTTCTGTATGGGCTGGGAGATGATTTGAAGGACAGACCTCCAGCTACAGTATTCTGACATATTCTCATATTATGTGTCAGTTTTGTGTCGGTGCATGAAACAGAGCTCAGCAGTTTGTGGCTCATATGTGTGTATATACTGTGCGCATTATTGTTCTGGTTTTATTTGCAGATCAGTCAATCAAAACTTTGATTCGTAGTGGTTTATGTTTGTGAACCTGAAATTTCTCTCATCACCAGATCATGGCTCAGATCCAAAGTTGGGAGACCTTTTGTTGATAGACTAGTTTAGCTCGTGTCATGTTTACTATGTTCTCTTTGGGACACTTACATTTTGCCCTGCTTTTTGTCTTGCAGGTGGCTTGTGAACGGCACAGATGTCCCGCTTGGCTTGGACGTCCGTTACACCTTGGTGGCCGGCAACCTGGTGATCAGTGGTCCCGACTCCGCCCGAGACGCAGGCTCGTACCAGTGTCTGGCCATCAACCGCTGCGGGACCATCATCAGCAGAGCTGCGAACCTGAAGTTTGGCTGTGAGAGCAGAGGAGTTTAAACCTCTTCAAGTGTCACTGTATCTTACTGCTTCTTCTTATACTTGTTAATGGGGTAGTAATCCTTTCCCTCTCTTTCTTCAGACCTCCATGACTTCCCCTCAGACAGCAGGAGTCCTCAGACAGCATACGAGGGCCTAGGAACCTTCCTGGCCTGCCAGCCGCCTCCACATTACCCAGGTATCCCCTCTGCTTCAGGGTTCTTACTGCTGCTGGGAAGCTAGTCTTTAAACCACAGAGAAGGATGAGCTGTGAGGTGGAAGATGGTTTAACCTCATGAGAGTTTACCTTCACATAAAACCTGCCACAGGCCACAGCTGGAAATGTGCTCAGTTTTGCTTCTGCCTGGATTCCTGATGAGTGTGATTTGTCCTTGTCTCCTTTCTGCAGCTCTGTCTTACCGCTGGCTTCTCAACGAGTTTCCCAACTTCATCCAAAGAACAGATGGCCGTATGTTCGTGTCGCAGGTGACAGGGAACCTGTATGTGGCTAAAGCAGAGCCCAATGACACAGGGAACTACTACTGCTTCACCACCATCAGCCTGGACATCAGCACCAAGAGCACCTTCAGCAAAGCCAACCAGCTCACGGTGATGTCTGACGGTATGGAGGCTGATGCTAACAGCCACATGTAGCTGCAGGTCTGCAGGATGCTGACTGTGTGGAGCAGAATTCACTTTAGCATCCCAGACGTTATTGATTATTGATTAGGCCTGATTATCAGATACTGATTCAAATAAACCTCAAGTTTGTTTTTTTAAAACTTTACTTTGCAAAACACATTTTTAATGTAACAAAACAAAAAACTTCACTTTATTATGTTGTAGATTAAATTTTTGTCCATCAGTCTACAATCAATAACCCATGATGGAAAAGTGAAAACATGTTTTTAGAGATTTATTAAAAACCAAAAAAGCCACTTTTCTGTGGCTCCAAACTGTGGTCGGCTGTTTCCTGTTTGATTTCGTTATCTTTGAGATGAATCTAGATCTTGACACCTGTAGGGAATTGAGCTTAATGGACAGTTGAGAGAGAGAGAGAATCACACCTGTGTGTATCAGGTCCCACAGTTCACTGCAGGTCTGGACAAAGACATGAAGTCCAGTGGACTCTCTGTAGACCTCTGTGGTGAGACAGAGATCAGGACACAAAGCTCTGAGTGTTCTCAGGAGAACCGTGGAACATGTCTGGAACCAGGACTCTTCTAGAGCTGGTGTCCAGACAAACTGAGGGACCAGGTGAGAAGGACCTGGGTCAGGGAGGAGCTTCAGAGTTCCTCTGCAGAGATGGAGAAGCTGCAGGAAGGAGGAGCATCAGTCAGGTGTTTATGGTGGAGAGACGAGACAGAGACACTCAGGGTCAAAGACATGAGACAGTCTGCTGGAGTCTGACAGACAGACTTGAAAGACTCCGAGACCAGGAGGAACCAAACTCTCTGATCTCCAAACACCAGGACCTGCTCAGCACCTGGATGACACCATTGGTACACTGAAGCATGTCCATAGTCCATTTTTGGAGAGACCTGAAGAGGACAGATCACAGACACTTCCTGTCCAGTCTGAGTCTGTAGAGACTCAAGCAGACTGAGGCTGGAACTGCTGCTGAAGGGGGTCCTACAAAGAACTGGACTGAGGGTCTGAAGTATTTTGGAAATGAGAGATTTTAGTTTTTGATTTTTAATACATTTGCAAAAATTTCTAAAAATGTGTTTTCACTTTGTTTGTATGGTTTGCGGAGAGGAGACGGATCCATTTAAAATCAAATCCACAACACAAGTGCAGGGGTCTGAATACTTCCTGAAGCAGCTGTAGACTCAGTGCACAGCTGTTTTCTCTAACACAACAATACAAGATGAAGTGACTGCTTCTTCATAGTTCCTGAACGTCTGACTTTAACACTGGGCCCTGCTCCTACACTGTGTGTTACATGGACACAAATTATTTATCTAGAGCTCAGAATGGAAAGAGTTAATCATCTGGAGAACTCCACATGCTCAGTTCATTTATTTGGTATCTGCCCATTAGATCTTACCTCACAGGGTCCTGGTACATGGTGCCAAAGGAAAGGTCAGGTAGTGCCCACAATCCTCAGAAACCCTCCTCTGTGGATCCTGAGTGTCCAAACGTCATGGCAGCAGGTTCTTAGATCAGATCAGAGCTGCACAATGTGAACATGAATTCATCTGAATATTTACAGTTTATTTTATTTCAGCGAATCCCAGGAAGTCGGCTCCGAGCATTAAGGTACGCTTCCCAACAGAGACCTATGCCCTGGCAGGACACACCGTCCAGTTAGAGTGCTTCGCCTATGGAAAGTAAGTCCCCACCTCGGACATCACTGGATCTGTTGTGCGCTGTGTCCTGTTCAGTAACATCTGTCCTCCTTTAATCCTCCCTCTGTACTGTTTCACCTTCTCTCCCTCTATATCACCTCCACCCTCCCTCCACTCTCTGTCCAACAGTCCAGTTCCTAAACTGCGATGGAGGAAGGTGGATGGACTGATGCCGTCCAAGGCGGGCTCCTCTGCTGATGGCCCCACCCTCACCCTGCCATTCCTCTCCTTCGATGATGAGGGTGTTTACGAGTGTGAAGCCTACAACTCTGAAGGAAGTGACACATACCAGGGACGCATCACTGTGCAAGGTGGAGAACAGAAGTTTGTTGTTATCAGGTTTCATGTCTCTGTCTGTCAGTACATCTTCACTTCACTGTGTCCTGCTGGTCATTCTTCTCCACCCTCCAGCTCAGCCCGAGTGGCTGCAGGTGATGAGCGACTCAGAGGTGGAGATCAGCTCAGAGCTGCACTGGAGCTGTATTGCTGCTGGTAAACCACGCCCCTCCATACGCTGGCTACGCAACGGACAGCCACTCAGCACACAGGTGACACACACAGGCAGTACTGTCACACTGTAGTGTATACACAGCACCTCTGCACACAAAGCTATGTGAACACACTCATCCCAGCACTGGTAATCTAGCTGTAGCTTCCTCTTCCTCAACAAATGGTCAGTAAACCTTGTTTTAAAAAAAAGAGTTGATGTGAAACATTCACATCCTCCTTTTATTCAATTGGAGGGAATAATTTGACTCAAAGAAAGTCTGCCAGTTTTCATACTAACTTAGAGTGTTAGAGGGAAATAATGTCTTTCTATTAAAGCTCCATATTTTACACAGTGTTTTATTTGAAGTGTTGATCCATAAGAAGATATATTTGTGGTTTTAAGAACCAAAAATCATCTTGGTGTAGTTTTACATCTCCTCTCTCAGGCTTCTCTCTGGAGCTCTAGTAACAACTGGTCAGTGAGCCAATCAGAAGAGAGGAGGCTCTGAGCCTCTCCTCTGATGTGTGAATTTGACCATATACGTGGTGAATTACTACATACGTTTATTTACTCACTGTCATCACTGACACTGACACTGACACTGACACAGCAGGTTGAAGCCTGATTCACACAGGGCTGAGATGATCTGATAACTGAACTTGTGTTTCGGCCAATCCTGGGAACTGATCTGATACCAGTGCATTAAATAAGTTATTTTAACAGCTGTGTAGTACTGACCCTGTCTGTCATGGTTTTATAACTCAGGGTAAACTCTTTGTAACGTGAACAGACACATGAATGATGAACTTTAACGGAACTGTCAGTCACTTCCCTCACCAGTTGTCCTGACACTGAGCCACCCCTCCATATTAAAGCCCTACATACTGAACATGTTGTCTTTTTACTGATGCGACTTTCCACTCTAACATGTTGCTAATGGCTAACGTCACACCATTTACTGGAAATCAAGTTCTTCTTCACTGCTCTAACAGTAGCTGCCAGTGGCTACACAGCACAAGTTCCTGTGTAGGCTACTGTTTAAGAGCAGAGAAGAAGAATTACATTCTGGGAAAACTCATGTTTCAACCAGACTATAAAGTTTATTTGTAAATGATGTCTCACATGGAGACTTAATAATAGAAGGAGTCAGACAGAAGTACAAAATCATATTAATATTATATTAATATCCATCCATCCATTATCGATACCACTTATCCTTATAGGGTTGCAGGGGGCCTGCAGCCAATCCCAGCTGACATTGGGCAAGGGCGGGGTACACCCTGGGCAGGTTGCCAGTCGATCACAGGGCTGACTCATAGAGACAAGCAACCATTCACACTCACACTGACACCTAATGTGCACATCTTTGGACTGTGGTGTACCCGGAGTACCCAGAGAGAACCCACGCAGGCACAGGGAGAACATGCAAACTCGACACAGAAAGGCAGGGGTCAAACCCAGAACCTTCTCACTGTGAGGCAACATTGATAACCACTGTACTACCGTGTCGTCCCATATTAATATTATATAAATGATAATAAGAAACAAATCTACATGGGGCAGGAACAGGCTGAAGAAATATCCGCAGACAGAGAGTGGATGTGAACAGGGCTCTTCCTCCTCACTGAGGGAAGAAGACTATGTTATCACATGTTAATTCCCACACGCGGTGTACCCTAAATGTGTGCTTCACACCCTCCCCCCACCCCCACCCAACTCATTTCCCTCTCTTCTCTAAGGACCGGGTGGAGGTGAATGGAGCTCGTCTGAAGATCAGTAACCTGGCCCTGGAGGATTCTGGGATGTACCAGTGTGTGGCTGAAAACAAACATGGCACCATCTACTCCACCGCTGAGCTCAGAGTCCAAGGTAGGAGGAGGCTCCGCTGTCCCTGAGACTGATGCTGTGACAGATTTTTCTTTATGCAGATTGAAGTTTAACAGTTTAATACTGGCTCACGGTAATGAGTCACTATTCCTCCATCTTCTTTCATCTGACTCTGTCCATCCTTCCCTCTCTCTGCATCCATCCATCACCTCATGCCCTCCTCCCTGTTCTGCTCTCTGTACTCTGTTCCTCCATCTTGCTTCCTGTTCCTCCAGTTCAGGCCCCAGACTTCAGACTGAATCCAGTACGGAAGCTGATCCCAGCAGCCAGAGGGGGGCAGGTGAAGATCGAGTGTCGCCCTCGAGCCGCCCCGAAGCCCAGCCTGTTCTGGAGCCGTGGGACGGAGCTGCTCACCAACAGTAGCAGGTAGAGTGGTAACAGGGTCAATGTGGTTTTCATTCACAGCGCAGTGCCTTCACTTTACATTTTAAAACCTTGCAATCCTGTGACCTGGAGTTCAGCAGAAACATCAGCACTGTTGTTCCATGTGGACTGAGTTCATCACACCAGTAGAAATGATCTGTCTTCAATCTGCAGTTTCTGATTTTACAGGAAGCACAGCAGCATCACCTCTTCAGTGATTTAAATCTCTATCAGTAAGGATTTAACATTAACAGACCGGCCAACCTGCGCACACTCTGACATCAGAGTACACTGGGACCATGTGTCAGTCTAAACTACACAAAAAGCTGAGGGAGATGCCGGCACTCACATAGAAAAAGTCTAATATTTTAATATGGGGCAAACAATGAACCTGTTTAAGCTATAAGCCATCATCAGCGTAAGAGACAGTGGTAACTCAGACCATGTATATATAAACATCTGAGGCTAGAAGATAAATGCTTGATTATTTGATGAAGTGCAACTGTGAACAACCATAGGGGGAGTGGCTACATGACATCAGAAACACAACCGTAAAATTAGATGTTATTAGATGTTAATATACAGTATAAACCTGCACCATCTCACTGTTACTCAGTAAGAAATATTAAGCACAATATGGATTCAAAATAATAAAAGCACATATTAGAAAAGCATACATTCATACTTAGAGAAAAAGACAATCCAAAGAAACACATGTGCTCAGAGATATCACTAAATACAACATGTACGCTAAAGCTCAAAACTATCCTGTATGTAAGGGCTTTAGAATAAAGGTTTGTCCGCAGTAAGGATGATAGGAACACAAAAAGCTGTAGCTGTCTATGAGTTTGACCAGTTGTCCTCAGGTCAATGAGCGTCCGGCCAATCTAAAAGCAAAACAAGTAGAGTTTGACCAGTCACATCGCTGGATTCATTTCCCTTGCCTCCACTCACCTATGAAAAACATATTTGCAAGCAGGGATTATTGACAAATGTGTAGACAGTAGCTAGGATCCATACATCCACAGCAACACTTCTCTGGTTCCCCCGCCTCACTGGTTCCTCAGGTGAGGACAGATCTTTGAACTCCTTTGCAAAGGTAAATGACTGCTGATGTGGACATTTGAGTATGTGAATTAATTAGGGCTGAAAAATTGAACAAAATCTTATCTAAATCACAGCAGGACCAAGTGCAATATCCAAATTACAGGAGCTGCAATATTTTAGATAAAAACATGTCACAACAGGCCTTCATAAAGACAAACATTGTGGTGCGTCAGAGACGCCCCGGCCTACCAATGATATTCTCCAGACATAAGTTAACATGCTTGTTTGGTACATACCAAACAAAATTCACATTATTTTTATATTTTTTCCAGTGAAAATTAAAAATGACTCATGTCACAATTGAAATATCTGCCAAAATCATCACAGTATGATGTTTTTTTCATATCATTCAGCTTTAGAATGAAGCTAGCGTTAGTCTGTGTTTGCAAGCTAGCTTGTGTGTTCACCAGTCAATTAACATGAGGACAGTTTAACCACCCTGCTGATGTTCCAGCAGCTGCATGCACCAACACACATCACTTACTTGTGACGCTGGCAGCAGATTTGGGGCGATGTTCTTTCATTTTGGAGTGTTGTGTGTTTGTCAGGTGGTTGATGGAGATGAACGTTTCTCTCTCAGCCTCTCCCTCCCTGTTGCTGCCTTTGAAGGGGATGAGAGGAGCTCATGTAATTGGTCATTTCTGGAGCTGGCCCCGCCTCCATCTGTTGACTCCGTGCTCCTCATTCAAATAATGTAGACGGATAGCTGTTGAGTCAAGCTCCCACAAATTTGTAAGACTGGATTGATTGATGTCCGAGATGTGAACTGCTGTTGTAGCTTGTTGAGAATAAAACACATTTTGCCATTATTTAGTACAAACATGAGATCATGCAGAGATGCCTGAGTCCTTTACCATGAAGCAGGATCTGAGGTCATTGAGGTAACTTCAAGTCAAGTTTAACTCTGAGCCTTCAGTCCTACAGCAGTGGTCACCAATCACCATGGTAACTGATGCTGAACTCGTAACCTAAAAGGATCCTGACAGGGACAAAAGAGTTTACAATAAAGTGATCAATGACAAAGATCAGTAGATATTTATGAATTAAGACAGAGCTTCTAAGAATTCTAAGAAACAAAACAACTACAAAATAACTAGTATATCTTCATTTGACCTAAACACAGGTTCTTTAATCTGACAGGACTCCTGACAGTGATGATGCTTTTACTCTCTTCTTCATCACTGCAACTCAGAACAACATGAGGAGAAATGAGAAAAACTAAACCAACAATGATCCACACACTGTTCAATATTTCCTTTATTGTAAACCAACATTTCAGTCAGACTGACTCATCAGACATCAGCTACTCCTCTCCTCTTTTCTTTCTCTCCTCTCTGCAGCAGAAACAGTCTGACATTAACTTTAACTGTTTTATCTGCATCACATGTTCATAACAGTTTGTTCATCATCGGACTGAAGAGGGAATTAAATGATAATTTATGCTCTTATTTACAGTTTATCCTCAGTTTCACTTTTGTCAGTGAAATTATTTCTATTTCACATTTCACCTCATTGAATCATGAAGATCATCAGAAGCAGAATTTAATTAATTGATATGAATTGAATCAAAGAGGAGCCAAAAACAAGATGCTAAACTGAACTGGATATAATGAGTGATACTGTTGTTTCTGTCAGTGTAAATATGAAATTCATGTGACATGTTCAAGAATATGTCAGTACTGAATATATATACAGCCATAGTTAGTGAAACTGTATTGGACTGCATCACCTGAGAGTTATATATTTATGGGTCTGGTAGCAGTACTGTGAGCAACCAGCTGGAGGCGCTGTTGACCCACCTGTGTCTCCTCAGAGTCACTGTGACATCAGATGGAGTGTTGTGGATCTACAACATCAGCCGGGCAGATGAAGGAAAATACACCTGCTTTGCTGAAAACTACCTGGGCAAGGCCAACAGCACCGGACACCTGTCTGTCAGAGGTACACACATACATGACAAAATCTCAAACTATTCTTTTATTAATTGCCCAGAAACATTTCTTCTGCTGGATTTCATCTGACCCAGCTCTGTTCTTTCAGATGCCACTAAGATCACACTGGCTCCCTCCAATGCTGACATCAATCAGGGCGAGAATGTGACGCTGCAGTGCCACGCCTCCCATGATCCCACCATGGACCTGACCTTCACCTGGGCCCTCAACGGGGTCCTGCTGGACTTGGAGGACTCTGCCGGGCCGTACCATCGGGTGGAAGGGGTGAGTCCTATGGTGTATGGTGGAGAGAAGGTGGTTGGGACAATTCTTTGTCTGTACAACTGTTTGGTAAAATGAGGGTGTAAATCTTTTAAAACACCACACAAATATATAGTTTATCTTTTTAAAATTCCTAAAACTGCTGGACACTAGTTTTTAGTACATGCTGCTCAAACTAGAGAAGATAGTGCAGCTGGAGCTGTAGTGGGTCTTTTCATGGGATGTGATGAAAAGAAGCAGAAATATAGAATATGAAGAGACTTTTACAGATGCTTTCAGACTGTCTTCAGTCAGTCTTTGAGGTTCAGTCAGCTGCTGGTACAGAACCAGGTCTATCTAGACACTGTTTCTAAGGTTCATAGCTCAGAAACCAGGTTTTCTGCCAGTGTATTCTACGCCTTGCTGGCCCACCACGCCTAAGCATGGGGTCATTTGGAGCAGCTCAGTTGGAAACCTAAGATATAATTGTTGGAAAGCCCAGCTGCGACATCTGTTGGTTGAAACACTGCGTCGCTGTTGACCCGTACAGCTTTGGGTTGATGAGCACCCGCCCTCAGTAACGCTGTCAGAAAAAGGACAGCCACAGTCGCAGTGGCCATCAGACACACCAAGGCACTCAGCTGTTTGCCTCACTGTGTGGAAGAGACTGGATCAGTGTTTTATCTGTGAGGAAACATCTTGACTTGAACATTTGTTCTTCGAATGGTCCTGTTTGTTTGATTGAACTTTTCGTTAGTTGTTGTGTCAGTTGTTGGTTATGTTATAATTTTCAGTGCTCCTGTCACACCTCAAAACACTGGCTTTGCAGATATTGTCAGTAGCTGTAGAACTTGTTGGCGTAGAAAGGGTTAAATACCTGAAGCCTTTGTTTTTAGCTCCCTCCATGCTACCTTAGCGCTCCTCATAGTCTACCAGCACATTCCTGATGTAGTGGACACATATAGATGTAAACATAGAATAACATGAGACTGGATTGAATACATCAGCCCTGTTGTCACTGATACCTGATCCAGCTATCTGAGTCAGTATTGGACCAATATCCAATATCAGCATGGGATCAGTACACGCCTATAAACTGCAACACAGTGGATTCATTGGTTAGATGAATGACAGAAAATTATTAACAACTATTAAAACAAACAATCCCCTGTTCCAGCTTCTTGATTTTGGTTATCTGCTTTTTTAAGTTATTTTTTGGGCATTTTTTGCCTTTAATTGGATAGTTGCAGTGAGAGAGAGACAGGAAAGTCAGGGAGGGAGAGAGGGAGGGGATGACATGCAGCAAGGGGCTGAGGGTCGAAATCAAACCCGGGCTGATGTGGTTGGGAGTGAGCCTTGACCAGGGCGACCCCAACATGAGCTTTTTCTAACTGGTATTATTCATGATTTTCTGACGATTAGTCGATTTATGGAGAAGATAATCTACAAATTGTTGATGATTGCTGTACTGAAAAACAGTAATTAGTTGCTGTGTGTTGCTGCTGAACCAGTTCAGTGACAAGAGCATCAGCTCAGAAAGCTGCTGCTGTGACACTAAGGATTCAGTTCAGCTGAAAGACCTGATCCCTCATGTAAAGAACACTTATAGATCTCGATAAGGTGCAGTCCAGAGGCCGGTCCCCTCACGGCTGCTCTTACTTGCTACTCTCATTAATGTGTGTGAATATCAGGGGTGGAAAGAGTACTGGGAGATTTACAACAAGTAAATTCACAGTAAAAATGTTCAACATGAGTCAGTTGAAATGTCTCTGATTTACTGCGTTACATTTTTAAAAGGGGGAAGATGAGGGGTAAAAATATGGTGAGAACAATTACATAGATACAACTATGAAATTAAAGAACATGTTTAGGCTGCAAGGTGTGTATGCAGTGGTGTTTCATTACACTTCACGGGAGAACAGCACTGAAAGCAACCAATATATTCCAGTCAGGCTCTTTGCAGCCTGTGCATACAACTGATAATTACGCATATACACTAAGTTGTCAGTTTATTAGGAACATTTAGCTAAAACTGATGTAGTCTACTACAACAGTCCTGCAATTTAAATATTATTAATTGTTGTATAGTTGTTGATCAAACTGTGTGATCATTGTGGAGGATGTGTGTGTGGAGCTGTTGAGCTGTGTTACATTATACAGACAGCTGTTTGTTATTTAGCCTACCTTCTACAAGTGGGACACTTGTCGAGGTTGCCAGGTGGTGACTTTTGTTTTCACTCAGTAACAATTAAAGTTTAGTAAAATACTTGATGTACGAAATACTACACTACGAGTAAAGATTTACACAAAAATATGACTTTGTTACAGAAATTAGTGTAATTGTTACTTTATGAATATACGCTTTCACTTCTATTTATTTTCTTGAGGTCTGCTGTCAAAAGTAAATGTTCCATTGACACCAGAGTTTGGAGGTTTCTTACCAGAACAGAGAACAGAGGACTGAGCATGAACAGACACAACGGGCTCCAGCTCCACAGTCTGTAACCGCTTCATTTCAGGAGGACATTTCATGGTCCCCGAGCACAGAGCCAGAGGGAACTGAGCTGCTGGACCAGATTCACTTCATGTGTTTCATAATGAGTGTGGATGTGATGAGACACTATTATTAGCTGGAGGTGGGCTTGACTCCTGTAGTCTGTGCCTTAGCCAGGTGTGGTCTAGTTCCTCTGTGTGTTACTCTCCATCTCTCTGCCTATTCTGTTTCAGAAAGAAAACATTGGTGATCTGCTGATTATGAACACTCAGCTGAGTCAGGCGGGGGTCTACGTCTGTATGGCTCAGACTGTGGTGGACAGCGCCTCGGCATCGGCTAAACTGGTGGTTCGAGGTAAGAAGAGTCATCTCGTTCTTAACTGTGCTGCTGGTACTATCAGAGAAAAAACCTCAGACACCACAGAGTTCAGCCCTGCAGACCTGCAGAATACAGACAGCAGGATTATGAATAGAAGAAGGAGGAGGAGGAACAGGAGAAGAAGAAGAAGAAGAAGGAAGAGGAGCAGGAGAAGAAGAAGGAGGAGGAGGAGGAGCAGGAGAAGAAGAATACTTTTGACTTTCACTTTATTTAGGACACATTATGCCAAAAATCTTAAATAGTCAATTTCAAAGCTTCTAATAAATTACCAGTCAACAATTAAAACCCCTCAATCAAAACAACAACAACAACAACAACAACATCACACTCCTACCTACAACTTAAAAAACTAAAAGCTGAGCTGCAGTGACCCATCGTCCCCAGTGGAACACAGGACCTGCCTGATCCCCCACACATCTCTGAAAACATCCAGGTTGCAGGTCAGTCTGTAAAAGGAGACTTTTCTATTCTGAGCCGAGCTGAGACCAGAGCCTTCAGACACAGCACCGGCTCAATCCGGCCCACACCTGACATATGGTTCTTACGGCTTTTCCACATTGCTAGCTTAGCATTTGCTAACAAGAAATTGATAAGAACCAGTGTCTGTCTTTTTAACAGTGTACCTTGGGCCATAAACAAAAAAGTGAAAATGAAAAAAACCTCTCCTAAAGCCTCCACCCACCCATGCAGCAGCCTAAATAAATCAGACAAACGAGGACAGGAAACCACCAGATGTTCTACAGAAGAAGAAGAAGAAGAAGAAGCAGAAGAAAGAGAAGGAGAAGAAGAAGGAGGAGCAGGAGAAGAAGAAAGGGGGGGGCATAAGAAGAGGAAGAAGACCTTAACTCAGTCCTCTGATGAAAACAGGCCCCTCCCCCCGAGGCAGCTCCTCCTCCACACCTGCTCTTCAAGTAGGCAAATACAGTATGATGTTGTTGAACAGTTGGTCAGGTGAGACTGTTCCCCAGAATTCAGGCTGTCAGGTAGTGGACCTGGTGACCTGGTCCCAGGCCTTGGTCGGTTGAAGGCATCAGGTCAGAGGAGAAAGAGAAGGGTTTGAATTGTTGAGGTTGGTTGAGCGGTCAGAGCTCTGCACAACTTCAGAGGAAACAAAGCTGCTAGCTCACCGGTTAATTAATACTTCTATAATGATAACATGCAACAGTGTTAAAGAGTGTGTGGCAGAGAAACATCTGTAATGAACTACTGTCCACTACCTGGGGTGAAGAGATAAAAAAAGAGAGAAAGAGGAGAGAGGAGGGGGAAAAAGGAAGAAAAAATTGTTATGTCATTCAACTACTTATATACAATTATTTATCTGTATCCTTTGTGGTTATTTATTCATTTTTATTTATTTATCATTATTATTATTAAGATACAGAGCAAAATAAGAGTAGAGTCAGTGAGTGTATTTTGAACCCATCATCAGGTGAAGGTAGAGGTGTCAGGACATGTCAGATTCATGGTTTTATTGTCGCTTGAAAATCTGTAAAATACAACTGATAGATGAAAGTTGTAATGAGAATGATAAATGATGGTATTCCTTTTCCTTGTGTCCAGGACCCCCAGGACCTCCTGGAGGTTTACTGGTGAAGAACGTTGCTGAGATGTCAGTGGAGCTCAGGTGGAGTCGAGGCTATGATAATCACAGTCCTATTGGAAAATACATCATCATGGGCCGTTCATCACTGTCATCACAGTGGAAGAGGATGAGGACAGGTGTGTGTGTGTGTGTGTGTGTGTGTGTGTGTCTGTGTGTGTGTGTGGTCAGACTAAATAAGCACAGTGAAGACATACACAGTGGATCCAGGACATAGTGACTGGAGAGGTGAAGCTGGGTCACAGAGGTGTTGTGAGGGTGACTGTGGCAGGGTGAACCTAAACATCCAATAAGAAATGTGACATGTGAACAAGAGCTACTTCATACTACATACAAAATAAAAGTCTATTTTTTCTCCAAGACAAAAAAGTGAAGTCTTGAATCACAGAACAGACCAATATATAGACCAATCTAGATCTAGCAGTTGAGGTATGACTCAGTTTTAGAGGTACTTGTTTGTGTGGCATCAAATGCTCAGGCAAGGTTAGTTCATCTTGGACTTTTGAATTCTCTTTGCTCTCTTCTGTTGTTTGCTTCTTTCTGTCACTTAGAAAATGCTGTGATGTAGTGTTGTAAGAGATCGACCAAATGATATGCCAGACAGCTGACATGACGTGTTGTAGAAAACTATGTGTTTACTTTTATTAACATTACAGCTTGTGTTGCACAGAAAATCAAATGAACCATTTGGTCTGATTCCTTAATGGAGGCCTATTTATTTTCTTTGGCAAAATAAAAGTTAAAAGAAAATGTGGTCATGTTGTGTCCAGTGTATATACATAATGAGAATAGCTCAGGGAAATATCCGGCCCTGAACAACCTAGTTGAATAGCCCCTCTATAGTAGCTGGAAATGGAAACTGACCCTGGACACCCCCTAATGTCCACCCTTTATGAGGGACATTCGTCAATATTTTTGATATTTCAGAGAACATATTGAAAAAAAAAACACAGGTTTAGTTTGATCTTGATGTCTCTTATCTCACCTCGTAACGTCTCCTCACGTCTCCTGCCTCAGATCCAGTGAACATCGAGGGGAACGCAGAGTCGGCTCGCGTGATGGGACTGATGCCCTGGATGGATTATGAATTCCAGGTCATCGCCAGCAATATCCTGGGCAGCGGAGAGCCCAGCATGCCCTCGCACACCATCCGCACACAGCAAGCAGGTGTGGCACCCCAGGTCACCTCCAGTCAGCATACACACTCTCTGAAAAGAGTGGAGAAGTGGTCACTGGAAGTCACTTCACCTTTAATCCAAGTTTCCTTTGACTGCGGCTCTGTAGTCTGGACACCTGGACATCAGGTCCACAGAGTATAAAGAGTCAGAGCAGGAGCAGTGATGCAGTGGTTGAACTGTAGCTTCCCTCACTGAGCACAAACAAGAGAGTTACAGCTTTATTCGGAAGTCAGTTAGAAAAATCAATATCATAAAAATGAATCTAACATGTGGCAGTCTGTTTCAGCCCTGTAACATTATCACACTTAAGATGGACGTTTAAAAAAAAGCAGAACAATCAAAACTGATGCAACAGAACAACCTGGAGTCTACGTATGTTACTCACAATGCAACTCAAACTCAGTGTGTTATGTTAGGAGCAGCTAATGTAGCCTGTAACAGAGATGAGGGGGTGGTGTAGAGGTCTGGTCAGCTCCACAACCCCAGAACAGGAAATAATATAATAATAATAATATAATAATGATAAAGAGAAATAACTAAATATAAAAGAATCATTTATTTGTTCATTTATTTATTTATATATTTTTGAAGTATTTATTTTTTGACATAGAGTCAGTTGGCAGTTTATTAGGAACACCTAGTTAAAACTAATGCAGTCTAATACAACAGTTGTGCAATAGTATTAATTGTTGTGAGAGAGTTGTTTTTATTCAATCTAATTTAATGAATTATTATTTTTTAATATAATTTATGTTTTATCCCTGCATTTTTCCTCATTCTTTTCCCTCTTGCTATACATGTCACACTGTATTAATCTCTGCACACTCTGCTCAGTATTAACAAACACAACAGACCTGATTTGACTTGTGTGTGAGTTTCAGTATCTATTGAATGTTAATGTTGTAGTTAGGTATCCCTACCTGTTCTTTTTCTGTGGATTATGTCATGTGTATCATCTTGTGTCTGTATATTTGACCCCCAGCTCCCACAGTGGCCCCCAGTGGACTTGCAGGAGGAGGAGGAGACCGCAATGAGCTCATTGTCACCTGGACGGTGAGTGGATGACTCACAGTGCATTGTGTATGTGTGTGTGCTGTGTGTGTACATATGTGCACTGCAGCATAATAGAAAGCAGTTTAATTGTCAGTATTTATTAATGTGAGTCATCTGATCTAATGACCTGCAGTAACTGTAGTTTCAGTTGGTAACTGGATTCATGTGGGTTTATTGTGAGTTTCAGTGGTGGTGACTACATTACTGGTACAACTTCATATTGAACACTGTCCTGTTGTGTCTGAGGTTTCAGGTACATTGTGTTTGATAGCAGGTGAAATGTAGCTCAGTCCCAGGTCAGCTAACTGTTAGCTTCATCACATTTCCTTTCAAATGTCACACTGATCATTGTTGATGTGAATCATAAAAAATAAACAAAGTAGCTATGTGAGTCAGCTACAACAGTCGTTTCAGTGAAGTCCAACAACACTGTAAAACAACCAATTCAAATAATAAAGTATTGAATTTACAACACATATACATCACTCACTACCAGGCTTTATGGTCACTCAGACAGTTTGAGAAAAACACATTTAAAACATGATATTTAATAAATTTACTTATGGACCACTAGTGGTCTACAGACCACACTTTGAGAAAAGCTGTTCCATGACTTTCAAACTTCATACCCTCAGTTTAAATCCAAAATTGTGATTCTTATGTACATCATCATAGGACGTCTGCAGGACTGTGGACAGTCTGTGAGAGAATCATTAATACTGATGTTACAGTTGGACAGCCTTCTTACACACACACACACACACACACACACACACACACACACACACACACACATTGGGCTTGCTTCCATTCGTCTCTGTAGAGGTTCACATGTCAGTCCTCTCCTGGATCCCTCAGCCCATGGCCAGAGAGTATCAGAATGGGGACAGCTTCGGCTACGTCCTGGCCTTTAGGAGGAAAGACACGTCGTCGTGGACGGTGGTGCGGATTCCTTACGTGGAGTCGTCCCGCTATGTTTACTACAATGAGAGCCTGACACCGTACAGTCCCTTCGAGGTGAAGATCAAAGCTTACAACCGCAGAGGAGAAGGTCCCTTCAGCCAGATCGCTGTGGTCCACTCTGCAGAGGAAGGTGAGCCAATGACCCCTGACCCCAACCTCCAGTCTTTATGTTGAAGTTGAAGTATTTTTTATTCAGTCATCAACACAGGTCAACATACTTGTCAGAACTAACTGTTGTATAAAGCTTGTTATACAACAGTTAGTTCCGACCATGTAATTTAATATACAGTATATTTGATAATTTGAAAATATTTCCAGAAATAACATTTGAATTAAATGATGTCTGGTTGTCAGAATAATACTTTAGCGCACACCTGAGGTAACGTGTAGACAGAATAGCAAGCCAGTGTGCACTGTACAGGTCAGGACAAGGTTTATGTGTTGCTAAGCAACAGTCTAGTACCAGTTCAATTTGTGTTGGCGTTGAAATAAACAAACAAATCATAATCTGTTGTTGCTTATTTAACTAATATGGCGCTTGTAGAACTGTTGTATAAAAGCAATATCACACTCAAGGTCGTGATGTTGGACTGAATATTTATGTAATATAATTGCTTAAATAGCTACCTTAACACCTGGAAATGGTGGGGTCTGCAGTACCCCTGCAAAATTGGTGCTCTCAGAAAAATTAAGTTACATGGCCCCAACAGCAAATAAGCATCTTTATTAGAACAAGATATACAGTACATTATTATAATAGAGGAATGGGGCAAAAACTGGAAAAGTGCAAGGCTGACGTCAATGACCTCTGAATGTCACAAGGGGTCAGATAAAAATTGCTTCCACGTGTGAAATAAAACCTTGGAGTATGTAAATTATATCCTGAAACTTTCATGCTTTAGTCATAAAATGCACAATTGGTTTGCCTACCTGCCCCACTACAACAATGGATCAGTGTGATCACAGTAACCAGCATTATTAATAATACGTAATAGTCAGACTATTGAATTTATTTTATGTCTAATGTTACAACTCCAGCGAACTTTGCATTACAAAGCAACTTATTCATATTATTTGTAACATAATGATAATTATTATCATAATTATTATTTTTATGAACATGAACTATTTGGATTAATCTGATCACTCTACAGTAGCTTTATCAGCCATATCAGGAAGATGTTGGTTAATAATCAATATCCTTAACATCAGTGATGGTTTAATAAGATATTATTGTCATATTGTGTATATTATTGTGTAGTGAAACAGGTGGGGACAAATTAAAACTGTAATATTGAACTTTACAGCGAACATGAACTGCCTCCACCTGCAGTACTTCTTATAGCCACGAGAGGGCCACATCAGCTTTCAGCAGCCTCACCACAGTCAGCTCACTCACTATCGCTGACAGTGACATGAACATCAGTTTGTTCCTCTATTAGTGACATATTGAGACAGTGTACACTGTGTGTTGCCTGTTCTGACCTCTGACCTCCTCTCAGAGCCAAAAGTGGGACCGTCAAGCATCAACGCCACAGCACTGACCGCCTTTGAGATCCAGGTTTCATGGGAGCCCGTCCAGCAGCTCAGTGCCAACGGCATCCTCAGAGGATACGAGGTGAGCACAGCAGACATGATCTGAAATGTACCATGGCTCCCTTTAATGTAAAAGCAGAGGTAGCCTTCAACAGGGTCATCATCATCACTATCATTAGCATTTCAACCTGATTCTCATCAGAGCAGGACTGGATGTAGATTTGTTTATTGTCTTTTTGTTCCAGTACAGCAGCATCTGACAACATAAAGCAACAACATAAAAACACACAAAACTAGAATCACCTCCTGGTGGTTGTCTGCCTCCTCCACTCAGACTAGTTCCAGGTCACCTCCCTGTTTATCCAGAGTCATAGAAAATATCAACCATTTATGTCCATTAGGTTGTCCAATGTCCACAGCACCACTGTCAGAATCATAGTCCTTGTAGAATAAACATTAAAACAGTGTCCATATTATAGTGTCGCAATGTCCCTTCTTGACTTCTGCTTGGTTATTTGCAGTTGTCTGTCACTTTCAATATGTACACACACAAAAGGTGAATAACACCACGTGCTTCCCAGCTGTGTGTAACAACCCTCATTTGTTACAGATGTTACAGACATATCCATCCATAAGAATAGAAAACACAGAACTCCCTCCTGTCCTTTGTTTACTTTGCTTTAAGACACTATCTCAGCGCCTGTCAGATCATTTCATGTTATTGATGTGATTTTGTAAAATTTCTCTTCAAAGAGGATTTGTTTAATTACATCTCTCATTAGATTCAGATGTGTGGGTGCAGTAAGACCAGTCTTCGTCCTAATAGGCTGACAAATGATACCAAATCCTGTTAATATTGTTTCTAACTATTACTCTACTAGAGTCTATCATTCCTAGAGCCACCATCGAGGGACCTAAATCAGTACGTCTATGCAGATTTGTTGATCAGGTCTGAAAAACATGTCTCCAGTAATTTGCTTGGATGCAGATTTGTTTTTGATTAGAGTTTATTACAGAGTTTGTCTTTGAGGTTTGTTTTAAAAAACCTTTGGTCTCATATAAAAGGTTGTAATGTTGTTTCTACAACAGTTCAAACTCAGTTTATCTATTGTGATTGTTTTAATCTCCAGTCTCATGTTATCAGTGGTGACATCAGCAGGATCATTACCTGTTGGTAAAATCACTTTCATTGTGTCTTATTGATGAGGATGGATGCTGTCAAAAGAAGAATAAACTGTCACTGAGGCTAATGTGTTTCTGCTCAGGCTTGTAAGTGTGTGTTTGGCATCATGTGCTGTGATCAGATCCGGTACTGGCGGCAGCACGAGCGGGAGGCAGCGGCAGACCGAGTGAGGACGGCAGGACTGGACACGACAGCCAGGGTGTCTGGACTTCGACCCAGCACTCGATACCACATTGCTGTACTGGCGTACAATAGCGCCGGCACCGGGCCTCCCTCACCACGCACCACCGTCACCACCAGGAAACCACGTACGGCTGCAACACTCACACACAACATGAGCACTCACAACAACAACGTCCTGGTGTGTTGTGTATCAGTTAGAAATGAGTGAGAGCGATCCAGCAGGTCAAACCTGAGTCTGGTTTTATATCAGTTTCATCAGACTTAACAAGAGGCTGCTCTTACTTTTCATCTGTGGAGTGTCTTCAAACACACTGTGGTGCATTTGGCTCTGCTGTCAAACATTCAATTGATCTGTTTTTTAATGGAACACATGATGACATTCTGGACAGTGGTGCAGCAGTGAGGCTCACAGTGAAAAGGATTCTGGGTCTTTCTGTGTGGAGTTTACATGTTCTCCTCCTGCCTCCTCCCACTGTCCAAAGACTCTAAAGTGTGAATGGTTGTTTGTCTCTAAGGCCCTGTTCAGACCTGTCCAGACCTGTTCAGACCTGTTCAGACCTGGTATTAACATCCGTCTCATGTGATCTGATCACAAGTGGACAGCTCTAAGTTCAGGTTTGAATACCCCCAATACACATTGCCTTCTCTGCAGTTGGTTAGTTGCAGTAAATCCTCTGAAGGAGGAACAGCAAAGACAGTTGTAGCATTAAAATAGAGAATGTAACTGAACAACAGCTGCAAAGACAACAAGGTCAGTAACACTGTGATTCATTATCATGTTGTATTCACCACTGGTTGTCAAGGCTGATAAAACACAACCCCAGAGTTTTCAAAATAAAACACAAACCCCAGAGTTTTCAAAATAAAAGAGGGTCCAGCAGAGTTTCTGAAAGTCTCTGCTTTAGTTAAAACTCTGGAGTCATGTGGACGTCAGGAGTAAACGGTGGACCCCACCTCTCACCCAGTGTCAGCTGAGATTGGCACCACTGGGAGGTAATGTCACCTGGTACTGGTCACTCTGCTCTGAACTGGGACTTTCATGTGAAGGTTAAAAAACAAAGTTTTACAAAGTGTGAGATCATTTGAAGGTGATGAGCTTGAGTCACTCCTCAATCTCTAAACCAGTTCTGTGTTTACAAATGTGTTCCACTCTTAGATGTTGATTCACTGTCATTATTTAACTTCCATAGAAACACACATAGTCACACACAGGACTCGTCCCCTCAGACTGTAATGAGATGAGATGAGTTATACAGTAGCTTACACCTTCCTCACCCCCCAGGCAGCAGCCAGTGGATGATGTCAGTGCTCAGGAAGCAGAACAGTAGGAAACAGTAGGATTAGACCTGATCCCTCCTCTGACTGGAGCCACATCATCAAGTAGACCTGTCAGTTGAAGATAGCTATTTAGTTGGGCAGTCAGTTTAAGTGTGGATGTTGGGAGTTTACAGACCTTTTACTGAAACAGCTTGTTTTGATGAGGGATTCCCCTCTTGGTGCAACAATCTAAAAGTTGAATTTTGAAAAGTGTGAATGGATTTAAGTGCTAGCTGCAATGTGCTGTATCCTCTGCAAAGAACATAGTATTTGTTTATGTGTAATATTCACATAATGTTAGGACTTTAATGTTCCAATTTCCTTCTCTCTCAGGTGATTTTCTTTTCTTAGGTGAACTGCTCTTCTGATATTATTGTTTTTTCATCTTAGTCTTAATGATTTCAAAAAGTCATTTTTAAACAGGTCTGTGTTTCTGTTTCAGCTCCTAATCGTCGCCCAGGCAACGTGTCATGGAAGACAGATGGTTCATGGGTAATGGTGCGGTGGGACCACGTGAAGGCCATGCACAACGAGTCAGTTGTGCTGGGCTACAAAGTGAGTGCTGTTTGACTGAACATTTGTGTACTGAGTACTGAGTGTACTTCAGTTTACTGAAGTGTTGACTTGAAGAACCTATAACATTTTCTCCATTAGCTTCTGTCTGTGAGTGATGAAGACAACCTTCACTCATTCCTGGTTATTTGAAGTGACAGATTTATGTATTTGTTTGAGTTTGTCATTGTGCTATCCTCACTGGTTTGAAGTACGCAGGGCTTAGATGTCATGTACCTCCCACCTAATCCTGAAGAAGCTGATTGGCTGACCTAATAAATAAAACGCTCCATATAGTCTAAAGGTAGATGTCCATGTGTTGTTTGATTATCAAGCAGGTCTAGGTTCTATATTAATACTGTGAAAGTATCAAAGCCTCAGTCCACAGAGAAATGCAGACAGCCTGTATTCAGAAACTGAGCCTTAAAACCAGCCGTCAGGACTTGTTGTGTGACTTTTTTATGTCACAACAAAGCAGTCACCACTATTAACCACGCCCCAAACCCACCCCAATCCCTACCTGGACCCACCATCCAACCTTGCTGGATTTGGTTTCTCTGAGTCCTAAAGGAGTTTAAATCGAAAAAACAACTGGACTTGATTATTTGTCTGGGAAGACGTTTCACCTCTCATCCAAGAGGCTTCATCAGTTCATGTACACATCTGACCAGGCTGGGACTGGTCCGACTTTCTGGTGTGGAGACCCAGGTATTTAACCTCTTGTGGGCGTTCACAAGGCTGATGACGTCACTGGTTCCCTTTTGTGCTCCAAGTGTCAACGACAGTCGTTTGCATGACTGTCGTTGGTGGAAAGTTGGTTTCGACTTCGTTAGTTCTCTATTGTGTTATAACGACAGTCGTTGGAGTCACTTGCCACTTGTGAACAGTTGTTATTCTTTGAGGCTAGATTGTTGAATCTCCTGGGAAGGGATGAAAGGGCAGCGTTGTAAATTGAAGATAGGTGGTGTCTGAGACCTCCTCCCCTGTTGAGGGATGGTTTCTCTCTGTCCTCTCGGTCTAGGATGTGAACATTGCTGTCCTCAAAGGAGTGGGCTTTCTCCTTAAGATGTAAATGGACAGCAGAGTCTAAGCCTGAGGAGTTGGCTCTCCTGTGTTGGGCCATGCGTTTATGCAGTGGTTGTTTTGTTTCTCCAATGTAGAGATCATTGCATTCCTCGTTGCACTGGACTGCATGCACCAGATTGCTTTTGCGGGTGTGTGGTGTTCTGTCCTTGGGATGTACCAGCCTCTGTCTGAGTGTGTTGCTGGGTTTGAAATACACAGGGATACGGTGTTTGTTGAAGATCCTCCTGAGTTTTTCCGATACTCCAGACACATATGGAATGACTATGTTGTTTCTCTTGTTTTGTTTTTCTTTCTCAACCACTTTGCTGGTTTTCTTTCTGGAAGTAGCTGCAGTTTTCACAAAGTCCAGCTAGGGTAACCACAAGTTGTGAGGGCATCCCTCAGGTGCTTGTGTTCTGCCCCTTGGGCCTGTGAGCTGGTGGGCACGTTACCCGCTCTGTGTTGCAGGGTTCTGATAACGCCAAGCTTGTGTTCCAGAGGGTGGTGTGAGTCGAAAAGTAGATATTGGTCTGTGTGTGTGGGTTTTCTGTATACCCCAATGTGGAGGCTCCTGTCCTTTTTCATATGGACGTCACAATCTAAGAATGGCAAACCATTGTCCTTGGCATCCTCTGGTGAACTTGATGTTTTTGTCCACTGAGTTAATGTGTTCGGTAAAAGCTTGCACTTCTTTGGATTTGATTTTAACCCATGTGTCGTCCACATACCTGAACCAGTGGCTCGGTGTTGTTCCTTCAAAGGAGTTCAAGGCCTTGTTTTCCACCTCCTCCATGTATAGATTTGCCACAATAGGGGATACTGGTGAACCCATGGCGCAGCCGTGTTTTTGTCTGTAAAATTTGCCATTAAACTGGAAATATGTGGTGTTGAGGCACAAATCCAGAAGCTGGCAGATGTGTTCAGGTTTGAGATTTGTTCGGTTTTGCAGGGAATTGTCCTGTGTGAGTCGTTCTCTTACCGTAGCCGAAGCCTCCATAGTTGGAATACAGGTGAAAAGAGAAGTCACATCGTAGGATACCATGGTTTCATCTGGTTCCATTTCCGGAACATAAAAATGGAACCAGATGAAACCATGGTATCCTACGATAAAAAAAACCCTGGACCAACTTATCATCACAAGATAACTGCTGTAACAACAGCACTGCAGCACACACTTTACACACTTTACTAAACACGTTAGATTCTACACACGTCACTAAACATGTTAACTCCTACAAACATCACTAAACATGCTATCTTCTTTAATAGCGTAATATGACTTCGTTTCTCTGTGTATTATCAGGTCCTGTACAAACATGAGGGCCAGACGGCGCTGAAGGTTCTGGACAAGGCGAAGACATCCATCAGTCTGCCGCTGCCAAAAGACAACGGTTACGTTGTGTTGGAGATTCGGTCCTGGGGAGAGGGAGGGGATGGGCCAGCACATGAGATCATAGTGTCCCGGGACTCAGGTGAGATACCCAGAACACACACACCACAGCTGGATCTGTAGAAGTACCACATCACTCCAGTCCTCTGAGGACACCTGGTTTTACAGAGTGCTGTTTTAACACCAACACAAACAAACAGTATGTTTATCATTAACTGCTGATGTAGCAGCGTCATGTGGAAGAACCAACTTCAGGGCTGTTTTGACAGAAGATATCTCAGACTGGTCTGTAGTGTTGGTCTAGGTCAGTCTAATGCCAGTCAGACTGTTTCACAAAAATAAAGACAGACTCCTTTTAAGACAAAAACATTAGACACCTTATTGCCAAGCTAACTCAGGCCTAAGCCTAATGTTACCATGGGAACATTGTAATCAGACACCTGCACTGAGCAGTAGCACCCAACAACAACAAACATTATTTGTGGTTTGGTAACATTTTTATGGAGAGAGCAAAGAGAAGAGAAATAGTTTTAAACACAAATGCAACATGCAAAGTACCAAAACCTGCAGTTCCTCTAATGACCACTAGAGTCTGGCTCCAACAGTGAGTCAATCCCCATAGGGTTAGGGTTCAGGCACTGCCAAGATGGCAACAGTGGAGCAGCTCAAACTGAGCTTTAAAAGCACTCTTCAGAAACCTGTGGGTAACATCACAGAGGCTCGGCCATCTTTATTTACAGTCTATGTCTCAAACACAAGGACACAAGGAGTGAAATGTTACAATTCAGTGTGTGTGTGTATGTGTGTGTGTGTGTGTGTCCATGTATATGTATAGTTACAACTACACACAGTAGGCTGCTGTCACAGAAATAGATGAAGTGAAAAAAAAAAGTAATTTCTTACCTCAAAATTTATTTTTTCCCTCTAAAACTGTCAGTGTCTGTCTCAGGGTGCTACTTCCTCACATGTGGAATCAGCACTAAATTGAGCAGGTATAGTGCATCAGGTGATTTTTGATTCAACCACCAGTCTCCTCTACATGTTTAATACAGGTCAGGAAGCCAGATTTAAAAGGCAGGAATGTGAAAACCTTGCCCTGTTATGGCTCTGTCATTTTATGATTTAACTCATGGATGAGTTGTGGTCCAAATTGTGATTGGATAAAATCCTCTATCAGAGGCATCCTGGTTACCTCTGACCATAACGTCCCCACTTCACATGCACCAGGGGACTTTGTTGCATGTCAGTTCTGCCGACTCCTGGGGGGGTGGGGGGCTCCAATTAACAAAAGATAAGATAAGACAATAAGGCCCTGATTTACTAAAGCTTTGCGTGCGTAAAAACGTGCGCAAACGTGACAGCACGCGCAAACACATGTTGATGCTGATCTACCAACCGGGCGCACCGAGGATTGCGTCTGTCAGTCGGGCAAAATAACACGCGCTATCCATTTAGTGCTTCTGCCTTCATGAATATGCAATATAGGCGTGCCTGCCAGAACGCGCAAAATATTGGGAGGAGTAGATGCAAATAGATTCATTTTGGCACGCAATGAGATTTACCAAACCTCAAACTAATTGCGCTGATTATTTTTGCGTCTATATTTAGCACGTTTGAAAGTCAAGTCTTAGGCTACCTGGCACAGCCGTGCGCACAGATGGCTGCGGTCATTGTTGCAAGGAGGCGGCGTAGGCACGACAGGCAACGGAGAGAACGCATCTTTTCTGTTCGTGTCACTCTTTTTGGAATGGCAGAAGAAAAAATAACCGAGACATATCGGTTATCCGGCGATGCAAAACAAAAACAGTCATTCGTTCAGAGTTCAGAAAATCCTTAAATAATAAATGTTGCATCATAATGTCAAGTGATTCTTGTTTGTGCTATTTTGACAAAACCAAAAATTCACATTTTTATGTACTAAAGCCCACTTTCTTTTAGACATAGGAAACATTTAGTTCGGCCCCAGTTCCTGTCATTTATTCCTGAAACTTAAAACAAATGATGCGCTCTTTATTTGATATCTTAGTAAATCAGGCCCTAAGTCTGTTTATTTGCAGATTGTACAGTAAAGTTCTCACGTGATTGTGTAAAGTTTTTTAGGTTTGTGTTAAATAATACTTCAGTTCTGGGCGGTGCCTTGATACAGAGTGACCCCTCTACAGAGACTGAAACAGAGACTGTTTTTGTTCCAAGGCCGTGTTATCTGAGAGATATGGACGAGAGGATATCTGTTATGTTGATCATAAACATGTCAGCAGTATCTAAAACAAATATGGAACAGTTTGATATTTAGATTTAGTTCTGTAGTGACAGAGCAGAGGTGTAAAGGTCAAACACCAGGACTGAGTGTGAGCCTCAGAGTTTATTTCACTTCCTGGTACATTTCCATCTTCACCAACACGTCTGGTCATACAGCACCAGTGACTGAGCTCAGTGCAGCGTCTGTAGTCGAAGGTGATCATACAGAAATCTGCACTGAAGACACAAAGTAAAGAGAAGCACTGTATTCACAGTATGAGACACACACTGACTGCAGCCTGAAGAGGACTTTTATGTTGAAAACACCTATGTGAGTCAGGAGAAAAAAGGTGCAGCCACACAGCCCAAAGCAGGCTGCAATGCATTATGGGTTATAATACATTCCTCCAAGAACCATCGACTAAATTTAAACTTGTTCCTCAGTCGGTCTGGACCAGGAGGGAGAGCTGTCCCTGCTCTGACACATTGATGAAGCATGGTTTCATCCTCCTGCAGACTGGGAGCACTGACCACAGCTCTTTGACCCCCTCAGGTCCTCACACCTGCCAGTTTCTCCCACATCCCGAACTGTGACTCTGAAAACCTGTTGGTCTGATCCCAGACTAGGAGATGAAGCACCGTTAATCAACTTTATTCACTTCATATGTGTGTGGTCATAATGTTGGAACCTGTTTACAGTGTGAGCTGCAGACTCATTCAGCAACAGTACATCTTGTGAAAATGAGTGGTTACATAACCTCTGTCTGTGTCTCACAGGAACTGGAATGATGGTCCAGAACGAGGCCTCCTCCCCCAACCTGTCGTCTCTGCACCTCCTCACGGTCCTAGTCTCCCTCGCTCTTGTGTCTTTGTCAGGCCTGTGATCTTAGCCGGTCTCTGGACTCTGAAACTGAAGCTCTCCTGTGTCTCAGCCTGAGTTCTGGGTCAGGGGTGGGTTCTGGTTGTTGGGGGAGGTCGTAGCACTGCAGGGATTAGAGGGATGGGGGAGGAAGGTGGAGGTCAAGGTTTCATTTTTTTAATATAATGAAAACAAAGAGGGTCTTTTTTTAAAAAACATCGGGATGGGTTGACGGGGAGGGAGGGAGCGAGGGGCAGGAAAGCCCTGTCTGATTGTGTGTTCGTGTACAAGTGTCCATAAAACCATGCCTTATGGGGACCATCACATCTGTGGCTGATGCCCCTCCAGACAGACTTCAGGTGTGTCACCTCTGACATCACGACCATGTGACAGAGGTCTGTCTATTCACACTGAGAGCAACATGACTGAGCACGGACGGACGGAGGGGCTATAACTGCACGGCCTACGGTGGCCCTGAGAGGTCAACACAAAAACACCTGCAGAAAATCATTTGCAATCACTCACAATACAACTACAAAGTGATGAACCAGGCTGTTTAATGCTTTGTGACTTTTGAAGTGAAAAGCACTGAACAACAAGTGCGTCCCAGCCTAGTTCATCACTTTGTAGTGTCCCCTGGAAGCACTTCTGTTGTTTTGTGAGTGATTGATGAAGATGTTTTCTGAATGTGTTTGTGTTTTATTTGCATGTGTTTTCTGAAGTTGCAGCTGGTTGAGCTCTCTGGGCCACTGTAACAGTCAGTGTTCAGCACATCCCCACAAAAAGTTTTATAACATCCAGGAACAGAAAGATATGACTCAAAGACCAAATTATCCTGGATCCAATGAAACAACATTTTCATATTCCTTTTCTAAACCACTACTTTGTTCTTTGTTCTTTGAGCTTTGGATGGACACATATAACTACACAATCATTTCCTGTTCATCAGGTGATCAAGTGATCTGATCATTACCAACTGCTCTGTAAGGTTATCTGTAAAAATAAACTTTCATGTCCAGTGTGAAACCAGCAGTTTAAATATAATGAATTCATCAGAGGTACACATGAGATTTAAAGAAGCCACAGTGATGAACATGAATGCAGCAGCTGAGGTTGTGCTGAAGAAAAGAAACAGTTTGACATGAAGCAGTCAGAGGGATGTGACAGTCATGGAGCCATTATATAGGAGGTGATGAGGATGAGGATGTTGTTCCTGATAATGACCCTGCTGAACTGCATCAGCTGCTGTTCTAACATACGCCACTTAAATCATAAGCTCCATGATGAAGCTGTTGAACCTGCCTCACTGTGGACGTGGTTGAGACATTATCAGTAACAGATCTGCATCACGAGAGAAAACAGTTTTACATTAAGTTTTCTATTAAGTATAACTTAAAGGTGCAGTATGTGAGAATTCATACTCCAAACAAAGAGTGGGCAGTGTATTGGAAAGACCCCCATTGTTAGAAAGGAAAAGCACTCTTTGCCCCCTTCTCCTGTGCCATAGACAGACTAACCATCAGGCTAACAGGGACATATCCCAGTCTGCACATGACAGTGTGCTGCATGTGTGGTCAGGGAGCTGAACTATAAAAATGATACCGCTCTCATGTCTGTCTGTCAAATATGGAGCTAGGGCCAGGAGGTGGTTGGCTCAGCTTAGCTTAGTTTAAACCATGGAGGCAGAGACACACTGCTGGCCTGGCTCTTTCCAGAGATAATTAGATCCACCTGCAACTCTTAAGCTCACTAATGAACAGGTTATATCTTGTTTTGTTTTTAATTCAGTGTGTCCTTCACACAGAGCCAGGAGAAAGTAAGTGTATTTCCCCAAACGTCAAACACCAGGTCAGGACAGAAGATTATCTTTTCCCTGGGTCGACACATCCAGCTACTGCATCTGAAAATGATTCTGAATTCTAGAGGTGGAAAAGAGTGAAAGTTTTACTTCCCCCTGTAGAAAAGTTCATAAAGGTGGTTTCATCAGTCAGTATTAAAATCAATCTTGTTAAGCAGATATTACTGACGCTTGTCCCTCTGAACCTGGAGTGGTTCTTGCTGCTCTCGTTGCTCACAGTGTGAACACAGAATCAGACTGCTCCTCTGTAGATCTGTTCATGGTTGGTTTTCAGCTCCTGATCACATCTGTGTGCTCGTTAGTGTTTTTGCATTGGCTGTAATTAAAGCAAACTGCAGAGCTACATCATTGCTCCTGATGAATTTAATGTCTGAGTCTGGAGGAGTGACAGAGGATGTGTTTACATTGTTGTGCCTGCGTTGTTTGAGTAATTCTGACAACAGTGTAAAGAGCTTGTGTTCAGTCTCACTGCAGGTCGCTGTGACATCACAGATCAAAGAGTTGGTTGGTTATCAGAGAACAGTTAACAGGGTCATACATCGTCCTCACTGTAAACCTGTCAGCGTCTATTAGCTCTTATGTAACATGTCTGGTTCACTGCAGTTTACAGGAAGGATGTGACCTCCAGCTGACCCACTCTGTCTGTGACCCACTGCAGTGTCCTGAGTCCAGCTACAGGTATCTGGTCCAGCTCAGGTCAGAGGAGACTTCAAGTGCTTTAATTTGTGTCTTTTTGTTGTTTTTAGTTGATTTGTTCGGACCTGTGTAAACTGTGTTGTTGTCAATAGCTTAATGAGTTGAAGCAGAACTGATGCTGTGGGTTCAGACTCAGGTTTTCTTTTACTGCCAACAAAACCACCTGGTCCAGTTTGAGTATGATTCTGTGTTCTCTCCTGCTGGTTTATGTCCACTGCCAAAATTCAACACCAACGCTGAGGAGCAGTGAAGCTCACTGAGACACTGTGTTGCTGTCTCTTGTAATTTGTCACCGTCTGTGTGGCGATGATGTAGAGCATTAAACAGTGAGACTGTGATGTCACTGTGATGGACGAGTTCATATGTCATACGTTCTTGTGTTTTAGATCAGTTACATGGTTCAGACCCATCTCACAATAACATTATTTATTATATGACATCATCCTCACTTAACCCTGCCCATATTTCAGTTGCTATGACCTGAGTATTTCCTGTCACCCATTACCATGGAAAAGTGTTACTTCACTCTTGAAGAGAAAAATACCCTGCACACTGCTCCTGCTCAGCATCACAGTATATTGATGATCCTAACGTTTCTCTCCAGACCTTTGTCTGATGTATTTGAAAAAGAGGTGGAGCAGCGTTATCTATGTAAGATCATGGTTGTAAGAACTGTTTCAAATACTTCAAACAAAGGACTGGAGAGACTGGAACATTAGGATGATCAATAAATTGTAATGCTAAGCAAGAGCAGTGTGGGAGATATAGTTCTTTTCAAGACAGATGAGTTGTCATAGCGATAGATCAGTTGTCCACATGGGACTCTATGGTAGAACATGAGCAAATGTGTGTTTACCAAATTTTCAAATGTCAATAATCACCTCAACAATCCTGCATTGATCATTTTATAATTTGTATTGAACCCACACACATTCCAAGAAACCAAAACATGCCAGCGTCATACAGATGTGTTCTCACCACTGTGATAAAGTTGCACAAGGCTGATTTGAGGTCAGTCTGAGGAAGGACTCCTACAGACCAGCAGACAGGTGGCAGACGTGGTTTTTATTTCACCTGCCTCTCAGACGAGTCTGAATCCACAGCATCAACGTCTGAGTGAAAGAAACCATAAAGACCTAAAAAGATCAGAGAAACAACATGTGAACAAAGTTCTTCTGTAACCTGTTAACTTTTCCTATTTAATTATCATTATCATGATTTCAGTTTTTATTTTGTTGTACAGTATTTAAAACCAAAACCTTGTTGTGTAAAGTTTCACTGTGTGAGTGGTTGAATGACTGACTGCCTGATTGTACGATGTTGTGCTTTATTTTATAACTTCATCAGATTTTACACAGACATGCCCCTTGTTAATGGCTGAACTGACATTATTGTAAAAACAGTGAATTAGACAAAGTTTAGGAAAAATCATCTTCTGTTTACACTGGAAACAAAAATTATTTTCATTATCATTTTTATTATTATTATTGCCCACATGTTCTCTGATTAGTCCCATCTTCAGTGTGCTGATGTTTGCTGTGGTCCACCTCCAAACCTACAGTATTTTTCCCATCATGCTCTAAACACTGACTGTCCTGGTTGGCTGGCAGCTTCACTACTGGTGTCAATCTTCAAAAACCTGAACTGGTCTGAACCTGAATTTAAACGACACCACTGTCTGTCACTCAGCTGCTTCATCCAGGTCCAGGTTTTGTGTTCCTGTGCTTCCTGTGTTTCACTGTGTCTGCGTCATGTTCAGGTTTACTGGAGGACTGACTGACAGGTGTCATCACTTCACATGGTGACAGTGAGTCTGTATTTCACGTGTTAGGGCTGAGATGCAGTGGCTTCTGTTGCCTTTGGGCCTTTTCAACATTGTAGGGGAATGGGGGTGCTACTTGTAAATATGATTTAAAATAAACACATTGGAATTGTACTTCAGTGACGTGTGCTTTCACTACAAACACAATCATGGTCATTGATTAACAAATGAATTATGTGGATGGGAGGAAAGATCATGTGTTACCTAAAAGGAAACAGTACATCCTGAAGCCAATGAGCTCATCAGAGTTTTAGATTTCTTGTGCACAAGTAAACACTTGTTGGCTGCACCACAGGAACAGTCAGGGAGAGATGATTTATGGTCATGAGGATTCATGCCCTGGGGACCATGAATATCCAGTAGTTCTTGAGTCATCTTGTGATGATGATTAAAGCAGAAAACACCCAGCACTGCAGATGTCCCCTGAGTGTGGTCTGACTGAGGACAGGGTCCTAAAGCTGCTGATGGAGGGTGGGGGACAGTTAAGTTGGTGGGGTTCTAGTGTCTCCTGTGTTACATGTATTAACCATATCAAAGTACTGGAAAAAAGCTGTCAGTTCTGCAAGTGATGTTTCCCTTGGATAAAACAAAATACACAACCTTCCCAGGAAAACACGGTGCATTGTACATGTCAGGGTTTGACTGTGCTGTGGAAGGTTTAGTTCAGATCCGGACTAATGTGTTAAAACACAAAAGTGATAGAGGCAATAGTAAAGCAGCAGCTCCATGCACTGAGAGGTAAAATCAATGTTTTTGTCAAAGGAGTCTTGTTGCTTTGAAGAACGCAATATAGCAGCTTCAGCCCCCCGTCAGGAGGGCTGTATGACAAGAAGTACTGAAAATATTCTAAATATAACAAACACCTAAATTGATGCTGATTTTTTACATGGACTTTTTTAGGTTGCTGCTGCCCTGTCTACAGCAGTACACTGCATTATGTCCTTCTCCATACTGGGGGCATGCTGACCATCTACTGTAGGCTATATACTGACTATGGATAAGTACCTCATACAACCCCACTTGAAAAAATCTGAGTCAGTTAGCCACATTGAATTTTTAGAGCCAAAATCTGATCCACACAGCCAAAACCTTGGGCTTTGGTAATTATGTAATAAAAAAAAAATCTGCAGCATAACCAACAGGCCTACTTAAACTTAATTCTTCCTTTCATTACATAAGAATTTGTCCCTTGAAGAATGTGTGTCATTCAGACAAATACATCACAGTCCATGAGGAGTTCACTGTATTCAAGCCTTTAAATTCTTTAACACTGACAGTGTCCTTCAGGCCGTCAGGCACAAACATTTTTGGATAATTGCTGTAAAAATCTGCAGTGGAAATATCTGCTGCTTCTCTCCAAGTTTCCTGGTTATATGCAGCCAATCACGTCGCAGGTTTTTCTCAATCCAGCCAATCCCTGAAGAGGGAAAGTGGTTGAAACAGAGGGGAGATAGCTCTTACAGCAAGTTAAAGGAAGATAGAGAGAAAGCTGAAAGAAAACTGAAAAAGAATATAATAAGAAGGAGAAAGGAGGAAGAAGATGGAAGAAAATAGAAAACAACTAGAATTACCTCCTCCTGGTTCTGTCCTCCATCAACTAGTCAAGTTACAGGAAATATGGTCACAGTCTCTCCTTCATGGAGTTACAGTGTTGAATAATGTCCAGATGTGTTTTTACAGAACATTATGATGTCACAGTGAATTTGACCTTTGACCTTTTGGATATAAAATGTCATCACAAAATTTTATCCTTATAGACATTTCAGTTAAATTGTGTCATAATTAGTGAATAAATTAGAGTTATGGCCAAAAAAGTGTCACAACAACCTTGACCTTTGACCTTTAACCACCAAATTCTACTCAGTTCATCTTAGCGAATGTTTGTACTAAATTTGAAGAAATTCCCTTGAGGTGTTACTGAGATATCATGTTCATGAAAATAAACATACTACCTGTGGTTAAAGCTGTCGGCATAGAAACAACATCAAACCGAAATTTGTGCATGATTCTCTAGCCTCTGTTCTCATTAGCATGAGTCAGTGTCCTGGTTTTGATCAGTCTTCACATGGACCATGAAAACCCTGGTTATTTAAATGATTCAGACAGTGTCCAGGTTTCTCCATCTGATCACAGGTTATTTACTGTTAATGATCTGCATCACTGAAGTCACTTCTTCTGTTCTGATTGTCAGGACATAATTTAGTATGATATTTCTTCTTCAAATGTTAATTTCTGTCCATGTTCAGTTGATGACATATCTGAGAGTGTCACAGATAATGGTCAGAGACCTGGATTTGACCTGCCACAGCAAGCAGATCCAGGTTTCTCAAAACTGGAAAAAGGAAGAAAACATAACTGGTATGAAAAACAAAAACAAAAACCTGATCATGACCAGGATACTCATACGTATGTAAACACATTCACTGGAGCTGATTGATAATGAACAAAAAATCGGGGTTGCCTCTGTCCAAACACTGAAACCATGGATGGACTGGTGATGAGTTCAGCAGCTGAAAAGATGTAACATGTTCAGTAGAAAGGACAGCTAGGCTTACATTTTCCAGTCTTTGTGCTAAGCTATGATAAACATAGAGCTACTGGACAAGATGAAACTGACATGAATCAATTCATTTAACCGCGTGTGAGATAGAAAACAAGCACATTTATTAAAGTACAGGAGGGTTCCTGTGGTCACCTGGGTCACAACCAGAGGTCCAGACCCTCATCCAACCAGAGGTCCAGACCCTCATCCAACCAGAGGTCCAGACCCTCATCCAACCAGAGGTCCAGACCCTCATCCAACTGGAGGTTCGGACTGACATTGAACAGGAGACAAAACCAGGTTCCCAGCAGGAAGCTGGGAGCTGGATTTTAGTCTGTCTGCATCACTGTTTCATCATTACTGATCATTATTTCCTGTCATTAATTAATACAGAGGTTCACTTATTGCTGTTATCACTGAGCTGATAGTTGGTTTCCCAGCAGCCCTAGGTTTCTCCCAGTCTTAGCTGGAAGTGAGGCTATTGGGCACGTCAGCCAGACTCCCACCACACTGAGCTCTTATCTCCTGCACTTTGCCACCAGATATTATTCATTAATGAGTAAAATATAAATTTGACCCAGCTCCACCGAGTCCAGGACTCTGCTTCTGTTCCTTCTGAAGAAAGGTAATGAGATCATCCTGAGCATGTCAGCATGTCTGGAATAGTGTTATATATTAGCATTTAGATGTAGGTTGTTGCATATGAAAATGTTTTACATTAAAGAGGGAAGAAATTGATCACATTATATTTATATTTACTCATTGGACAGTTGCTTTTATCCAAAGTCACTGCAACAGCTTTGTAATCAGTCAACTGTTTGGCAAAAAAAAGGTTCCATCAAAATACATCAAACTGAATCAGCTTAAAATTATTTATTTTATCTGAGAAATAAACTAAAGGTATCAAATTGACTTGTATATAAAATACAGAAACATGTTCCATCAGTTAATTGTCTGTTGACTAATTAATAGTCTAGTTGTTAGGTAGTAATAGTTTTTCTCATCAATCAGAGGCTCATCATTTCAGCAGAAAACTGTTTGGATCTCCAGAGGGAACGATGGCAAGACTCTTCACAGGTAAATACCACTCATTCATTCATTTAATTCAATTCAAACGCTTTTTGTTATATACAGAAATGGTTATCAATGCGATGAAATTCTTAGTTTTCTGTCTCCGTATCCTGACATCATCAGTTATTGCATCTGACTGAAAAAAAAACCCTAACCCCATACCACAAACTACAATAAAATAAGATCAGATAAAATGAATTAGTAAAGAAGACAAAAGCAAATATGTATAGACATAAATAGCCACACATATGCATCCATTTGTATATATACATATTTCCACTCACATTCATACAAATAGGGTACACAATAAGAATAATACCAAATACAATATAAAGAAATCCGTGTAATAAAAACAGAGATGTGTAAGTGTGTAAGGGTTGAATTAAGTTCTGTGGGGGTGGTGGGTTATGTAGAGAGGGTGGAGGTGTTAGTGCACTCACTCATGCATTGATTCAGATTTATATTAACTCATGCATTTATTAAATAATTACATTATTCACCTATTAATTTGAACTATGTTCAGCTTTTTCTGTTTGTCAGTGGTGATAATATATTAGAGTAATATAAAATGGTACTAAGAGAACAAATAATGATCATAATGTTGATAAAAAAAATCATTATTGTTATGTTATTTAAACTTTATATTACAGTATAATTGTACAGTGCTAATTTGCTCTCTCACTATATAAACCAGTTTTATCGATATACTCTAAAACAACATATGATGCTTTATTCTCTAGATTTGATTAAAAAAATGCCACATAAAAATAAATAAATACATTTTCATGGGAAGTGAACTGTACATTTCCAGGTTACTTTATTTTCCTATTAATCATACATTTGTGTTTGGCTATTTTTGTGCTGAGCTATTTTTTCTTGTCTTGGACATGAGATGTGTTTTATGTGTGTGTTACCTGTGTTTTCTCTCCTCTATCAGCTCTGGGCGTCCTGCTCACTCTGCACATGGGTAAGTATCTGCTTCATGTGATGGGTGTTGACTCTTCATCAAACTCAGAACAAATGAGTCAGAGTCTCATTTCTGCTGTGCCTACACTTTCCTTCAGTGTCATCCAACAAACTGGTGTGCCACATGACCAACTGGGCCCAGTACAGGCCCAGCATGGCCAAATTCACCGCAGACAACATTGACCCCTTCCTGTGCACCCACGTCATCTACGCCCTGGCCACCATCAACAGCTTCAACCAGCTCAGCCCCATCGAGTGGAATGACGAGCAGCAGTACCAGAGACTCAGCAGCCTCAAGAGTGTGTAAGTTTACACAGTGAGTGCAGGTGGTCTGGACCCACATGTACAGCACAGTGTTCAGAACTGTATTCAACATGTCCAGTCCTTCTATGTTCAAACTAAGACAAGACAAATAGTCTTTTTAACAGTATTTGGTCAGGAACCATTTGCTGCTGGTATCCTGTTTTTAGGGTTATTAAGTTATTTTTTTGGTATTTTTGCCCTTATTGTGATAGCACAATGAGAGAGAAACAGGAAGTCTGGGAGAGAGATAGAGGGCATGCAGCATAGGGCTGTGGGTCAGACTCAAACCCATGGCCGCTGTGGTTAGCCTGTGTGATACGCGCTCTACCAGGTGAGCCACAGAGGCACCCCAGGTAGCAGCATTGTAATGAACACACAAATTAGAGTTGTCACATAAAGTTTTTGAAAGCATGGACAAAGTTTGCAATTGATTGTACAGAAATAAAGACTCAGATTCAACATGATTAATGCATATTTATGCTTCTGCATAATAATTTCTCTAGCCACCTATAAACCTATAAATCTATTTTAAAGATGGCCAGGGAGGAACCATCCCCATGTCAGCTATGTCTTAGAATGAATAACAACTCCATAAGATATTAACCCTTTCCAACATCCACTGTTAATTGTTCTTGATCGACCTCAATGGTACAAGTTTTTAGATGGTAAAATTACAGTGGGATGCAAAACCAGAAATTTTTTCTGTTTTGACATAAAGCACTTCAACAATTGCCTGATAATATGCTATATAGGGATATAGGACAATATTAATATTATCCTCTGCTTTCTCGGGGAGGGGCTGCGCACACACACACACCATATACACAGAGTGAACAGCAGAGCAGAGAGGCTGCGCCATACACAGAACCAGGTGAAGTAAAGAAAATGAAGATTACTGGAGTTGACACAACTATCACTGAACTTTACGTTACTGAAAGTGCAATAGAAAGTTAAAGGCCATCCATGGATGGATGGATGGATGGAAACACATGACTGTCAACGTTGAGACCGCTGATCATTTCCTTTTAATCATGTCTATTCCACAACCTTAACTATATGTTTGTTATAGTAAGCATGACCACAAAAGTCCTCTAACATTAAGGAAGTACTTATTTTAACCCAAACCTGATCTTTTCCTAAACCTAACCAAATTGTCACCATTCCACAATGTTTAACATCTGTTTATTATTGTCAACATGATGACAAAGGTCTGGTTCACCTGGTACATATCTGAGGGTAGGGATAAGTGACCTCTATGTTCGTTTAGGTTGGAGGACTTGTTGGTAGGAGTGAGGTATTCCTATCAAGTAAAGCTCAAATACACAAAAAGTGGAATATAGTGATGTCATCAGCATATGTTTGACCAGAAACTCTGTAATATTCTGCTTATAGCAATCCTGTACTGAAGACTCTGCTGTCAGTTGGAGGCACAGTCAATGGAGTCAGCCCGTAAGTTCAAATGCTACGCCAGTCTCCCACACACACTCTGCTGCTGTGTTACCAGAATGGACGCCACAGTTTGTGTTGTCTCCATCCCACCAGATTCATCGCCATGGTCGCCAAGCCTGAGAGACGTGCAGTCTTCATCAAGTCGGCCATCAGCTTCCTGCGCACCCATAACTTTGATGGGTTGAACCTGGCCTGGGAATATCCAGGACACAATGGCAGCCCACAGGAAGACAAGGAGAGGTTCACTCTGCTGGTCACGGTTAGCATGGTTCCCACTTTTCAGTAATAGTTTTTGAGAGTTAGACCTTTATTTAAAAGCCAGTAATATATATGTCACAGTCTTTAGCCATGCTAGCATCATGGCTGTAGAACATCAAACTGTCCACCACCTTTGTCCAGATTGAAATATTTCAGCTGATTTTCATGTTACCCAGAGGACAAATCCTACTGACTTTGATGATCCTGTCTGATTTTGACATCACCCTTTGTCAACCAGAGGGTTGACATTTTTGGTTTTTTATCAAAAAATCTCAACTATTCAATGGATTGACAAGAATTCTTTTTAAAGACATTCAAGGTCCCAGGAGGATGTCAGCTAATGCTAATATACTAAAGATGGTAAACATGGAAAACATTTTATCTGCCTAACATCAACATGTCAGCATGCTGACATGAGCATTTACCTCAAAGCACAGCTATGCTTAAAGGAGCTATTTCTAAGTTTTGCTATTGCTACATGACTAACATTAGCATTAACAGCTGTTTACTTACCAGTCTTTCATTTACAATACAAGAGGCTCCTTTAAATAAATCTTGAAAGAGGCACTATACAAGACTCTAGACTGTCTTGTTTACCTGTAAGTACGACCCCACCCTCAAGCCAATCAGTGTTATTCAAAAAAAGAATAATAATGAATCCACTTATTGTACTTTTCGATATTGTATCACAAACTTAGGAAATGCAAGAAAAAATTTTGATTTTGGACAATTAACAACTGAACAAACTCTTCACACTCAGTCTTATAGTATGAGATAGACATAAACAATGAGATGCGGGGGTGTGTTGTTTCTTTGTGCCAACAGGAGCTGTCAGTGGCCTTTGAGGAAGATGCCAGAGAGAACCGGAAGACTCCACTGCTGCTATCGGCCAACGTTGCTTCTTTCCCTCCCACCATCAACAGTGCCTATGAAGTCAACAAGATTTCACCGTGAGTTTGATTTCACTGGATTCAGTTCAAAATTAAGGTAGCCTATCCAAAAAGGTACAGTTTTGGTATCAGTAGTAAAACACAGGTATTGTATTGGTACTGATAATTTCAAATAAACCAGCTCTAGTGAATGTGAATGACAGTTACAGGTGTCAGTATCTTGCGCAAGGACACCTTGGTAGGAAATATGATGTTCTTCACCAGTGATATGGAATATTTTAGTGCTGACCTAAAAAGAAAACCTTTGAAAACCAACAGTTACTTGGACTTCATTAATGTCATGACCTACGACTTCCATGGACACTGGGAGGCAGCTACTGGACACAACAGCCCACTGTACCCCAGCTCTGTGGACTCCGGCTCACACAGTCATCACAATATCGTAAGATGCACACAAATGACAGACACTTTCACATTAGTCTGTTGTTGTGTTAGTTTCACTGTGTACTTATTGTCAAATTAAAAAAGTTTAGGTTTTAACCTTTTTGGCTAGACCGCAACAGAGTGAGATCTATGAACATGAATGTCACTGACTTACTGAGTGATGAAGTTACGCCATTGGTCAGTGCACTTTAAAAAATGAATTGTTATGAACAGTTTCAAATACATCATCAGGGGGTGTTTACAGCCAGTGTGGCCAACTTATTGCCTTTGTTGCTAGATTTCTTTTCAAAAAAGCACCTGGCATCAAATCAAGCAACTTTTTGGACAAATCTTAGTGAAGAAGAGAGTCTCCAAATCTACGCATCCTTGTATATTCTACTTATGCAATTATGTGATTGTTCGTCCTCAGTTTTGCACATTGACCATACATGCCCCAGCCTTACAGTATACCCGAGTTTTGTTCTAGTCTTTCTACGTTTAAAGCTGCAATACCTGATTTTTGACCACTTAGGAGCAGGAGGTCTCACAAACCTCCAGACAATGAGCCCTGATATAGTACTGAATATAGAGATCAAGTTTTTGTTAGCCAATAGTTGTCTGCTTACAGCCATATGCTTTTTGTTAGAACTCCTCTGTGTCCCACTGGCTGTCTCTGGGAGCTCCAGCTGAGAAGCTGCTGTTGGGCTTCCCCACCTACGGACGAACCTACCACCTGAGCAGTGCTGCTACCGGCCTGGGAGCACCAGCTAACGGCCCCGCAGAAGCTGGGCCCTACACTCGCACTGCCGGCTTCTGGGCCTCTTATGAGGTACAGTCATATATATATTCCTATAATATTCAGCTGAGTTTGTGCTGAAATTCAATAATGATTCCTGCCTCTGTGTTCACTGATGTTGAAGATGACAATTTTAGATCTCACCCACTGGTGTGGATATGCACCAATGTGAGCACTAAAGCCACATTGGCAAACCTTACCAAGAGTTAACCTGAGGAGTCTGATCTAACTCTTCATGTTTTCGTGCCACCAGATCTGTGATTTCACCTCCAGTGCTACAGTTGAATGGATCTCTGAGCAGGAGGTTCCATATGCCACCTATGGCAGTTCCTGGGTGGGCTATGACGACAAGCGGAGCTATTCTTCAAAGGTAGGAGCTCCATTACTACTAACTCTGTTTCATTTACAGTCTCTTTCTCTTTATTAATGAGCACTCGCCTTCATAGACGCCAATAATGTTTCCGTTAGTCAAATCCACAGATTTCAGCACCGTAGGAAATTAACAGCGATGGCCGACACACACACACACACACACACACACACACACACACACACACACACACACACAGAGGGATTGAAAATGAAAAATGTAACTAATGATATACAACATGAAACGGAGTGTGATAGATTCTAGATTAGATCAATATGAGGGTCTCACTATGATTGGTGGTTACAATTAAGGGGAGGGGCCTGACAGCTAAACACCCACAGCAGCTTAGTCTCTATGGCTCATCCAATCTAACACCAACCTGGAGTTTGTTATCAAATCAATGTAAATTTGGCCTCAACTACATGCTCCCACACATGGGTGCTGGGACCCGTAAATTTCAGTGCCTATGCTGGCTCTATAGAATAAATAAAGCAATAGAAAAAGTAGTTCTAGGTCCATGTCATAGGTTTGTAGGATGCTGCTGTTCTCCTCACCTTTGCTACTGATGTTGTCGTCCCGCAGGTCCAGTGGATGACAGCCCACAACCTGGGAGGTGCTCATGTGTGGACTCTGGACATGGATGACTTCGGTGGATCCTTCTGCTCAGCTGGACCGTATCCTCTCGTCAACCACCTCAGGATGTCCATGGGTAAATACTGAAGCTTGGCCGACCGAGAGCCAGCCCTGCTCACTCTAATGCCTTTTACTAATTGATTGATCATTAGCAATTCCAGACACCTAAAAACAATACTGTATTTCATAAGTTGCGAATTTCAAAGTTGTGTTTCATAAAATTCTCCTAATCTTCTCCTTAATTTTGGCACAGTGTGTAATCAAATGCTGGTTTAGCCTCTGTTGATTCTGTCCCCACATTTGACTCTTCAGGCTTCCCCCCAAAGCCCACCACCACACCGGCTCCTACCACCACCAGGGACCCCATGGTTGACTTCTGCCGCGGCCGCCCTGATGGCCTGTATGAGAACCTGGCTGATAAGACCACCTATTTCCAGTGCTTCCAGGGAAACACCTACCTGCACCGCTGCCAGCCCGGCCTCATCTACTGGGACTCCTGCAAGTGCTGCGACTGGCCCTGAGCCACACAAACATGAACTACAACACATTGAGTCCATGAATGTAAAAGAAAGTGAATTATGTCTCAATAAAGTCTTTTCACAGACTGTCAGCTCACACTGATTCAAATCATGGTGCTGGATTACAGCAGGAACAGAACCTGAACAAATTGCTGTCTCAGTGAAATATTTACAGTTGACTCATCTGCTTTAAAGCTAAATATACTGAATCATATCATCACATGACCTGATGAAAGATACACATGATCACATGTACTTTTCATTCTTGTGTTATCTTAAAACAAAAAAAAAACTGAACAATTCTCTACATATCTTGAACTTTTAATTGCATTATTAGATACAAATTATATGTCCTTAAATCCATTCTTAATTGTAGCAAAGGTTACTGGTGTGTTCCCATTATTCATGTCCACTCCTCAGTAAAACACTCAGCTGTGTTATCACTCTGAAGGGAGTGTAGCATTAGCACTGAAGCTGATTGGTGTCAGCGGCTTCATTCATGTATCATAATCAGTGGCTCATTCACTAACAGTGTGGCTATTTATCTCAGGTCTTGTCACTGACGACATTCTAATTATTGGTGACTTTAATATTCACTTGAATATGGCCTGGGATCCTCTAAGTAAAGCCTTTCAAGCAATCACTGACAATTTTGGTTTCACCCAGTTTGTGGCTGAACTAACTCACTGCAATGGCAACACTCTAGACTTGATCCTATCCTGTGGAATTGAGGTATCTAGTCTGACTGTCTCTCCCGTCACTTCTGCCATCTCTGATCACTTTTTTTATCAAGTTTGAAGCAACACTAGGCTGTCCTCACATTACTAGCTCAAATGTATTTACCACACAACACATTGGTCCAGCAACTGTAGCTCCGCTCACTGTAGAAACTGACTCTGTCGAAATTTGTACTAGTAAATTTAACACAGCTCTGGCTAGCCTCTTGGACTCAGTTGCTCCTCTCACCACTAAAACCAGACGGTTAAAAAGGTCTACACCATGGTTTACTAAGAAAACATGAGCCCTGAAGCAGGCCTGCAGGAGATTGGAGCGCAAATGGCGAAAATCAAAATCTGGAGCACTCTACTTTCAGTGGCACAAGTGTGTGTTAAAATACAAGTGTGCTCTCTCCACTGCTAGAGCAGCCTACTTCTCTAAGTTAATCAGTAACAACAAACACAATCATAGATTTCATTTTGACACTGTAGCTAAACTCACTCAGCAGCAGCCATCTCTTAGCTGCTTGCCCTTTACAGTCCATGACTTTCTAGAATTTTTCAATAATAAACTAGACAAGATTAGACATAAAATCATTTATTCTTCTCCAGTGTCTACAGAACCAGCAGAGAATTACTTAGAGTCCCTGTTAACTTCTCCTTTAACAAATTTCGAGACTCTGTCTCTTGAAGCACTATCTATGCTGGTGTTGTCTTCTAAACCCACCACCTGTCTACTGGACCCTCTACCAGCTAAGCTCTCCAAAGACCTCTGGCCAATCTTGGGACCTTCAGTGCTGAACATTATTAATTTATCACTCTCTTCTGGCACCGTTCCCAGTAGCTTTAAGACTGCTGTGGTTAAACCTTTGCTTAAAAAAAACACACCTTGATCCAGGATCCTTAAATAATGATGATCCTGCTGCTAAACCTGCTAAGATTTACTAGAATTAATAATGACATTTATTAATATTATTAGCTGTCATTACTATTTTATCAGTATGAGCACTACAGTTGCCATTACATTACTATTGTTGTTACTGCCACCACTGTCACTATTATTAATATTGCTATCACTGTACATTCTTGTTCTTTTCTTCTGTGCTCTCCTGCTCTCGCTCTCTCTCTCTCTCTCTCTCTATCCAACACAACAGGTGGAGGCAGATGGCTGCCAGCCCTGAGTCCACTTCTACTTGAGGTTTCTGTCTCTTAAAAGCAAGTCTTTCCTTGCCACTGTCGCCTAGTGCTGCTCTTGGTGGGAATTGTTGGGTCTCTGTAAATAATATTATAAAGAGAAGGTCTAGACCTGCTCTATTTGGAAAGAGCCTTGAGATAACATATGTTGTGAATTGGCGCTATACAAATAGAAATTGACTTGACTTGACCTATCTCCTGCTTTGAGGGCATCAGTTACTTCAATGTTCAGAGGCATCAGCTGAGAGGAGTGAATGGCTGTGATTGTTGGGATGAGATCTGAGGTCTGAGCGTGTTTATTATCCTTGAGGTTTGCGTCACCTTTTCTGACGAAGACTGTGAACAAGCTCTAACAAGCTAATTAAGGTCTGAGACCTTGGTGAACGTTATCCGAGAGCTCAAACTTACCTTACCTTTTTTTCACTCAAAATAAAAATAAAACTACTACTACTACTAATAAAACTACTCATGATTAAAATGTTGAAAAGAATGTTTCATCTTTAACATTATGATTTTGGAGATCAGTTCATCTTTTACGCACTGAACTATTCACAGTCATAGACATGTTGACCAGGGAGCCTAATCCTCTGCTGGGATCAATTTAGTACAAGTAAGAAGAAATCTGTCTGTTTTTAATCACGTTGGAAATTTGTAATAAGAAAAAAGGTGTGCTGAGAAACCTAAAACCAGTTGTAGAAAGGAGCCTTTTGAACATACCAGCAGGAGAACTTTAAAGGTCTGAAGACCTTGTTATTATCTGCACTTACTTCTAGTGATCTCAGTTTCAACATGTACTAGTCTTACTCCCCCTGATCACTGTACACACTGCACAGACAAGAGCTGTTGTGGTTTTCACTCAAAACATAGCAAAGTTCTCATCTTCCACCCAGTCCTGGGGCCGTTTCACACAGATATCTCAGACTGGTCTGTAGTGTTGGTCTAGATCAGTCTAATGTTAGTCAGACTGTTTCACAAAAATAAAGACAGACTCATTTTAAGCCAAAAACAATGGGCACGTTAACCCCAGGCTAATTCAGGCCTAAGACCAATGTTACCATGGTAACATGGTAATCAGTAACACCTGCGATAACCAGTAGCACCCAACAACAAAAAACAGGAGAACATGGCTAATTATTTGAGCAAAGAGAAGGGAAAGAGTTTTTAAAGACTGAAGTGATTTCTCTTTTTATTGTTTCACTCTTCATGTAAAACGTCCTAGTACCTGTTGAATTCCTCCAAAAAACAAACATGTTCTGCTGAGGGTAAATGGAGCTGAGCAGTTAGATATGGTTAATCTGTCGGCCATTTGTTAATATTGAAAAATTTCCACAGTCTGGTTTAAGATTGTCAAGAACTAAACTGCTTTGTGCAACAGATGAATGTAGATGTTTATCTGAAGTCTGACTGTTTTAACTAAGCCACAGTCAAAGTCTGTCTTTGTGAATCCAGCCCTTGGTTTTTATATGTTCAAGCCCAGCTGGCTGCAGTTCCACTGTTGGTCAGAGCACAAACATTGCTGAGCCTTGCGCTGGGGTAACACACAAATCACAGAGGTGTGTGTGTGACAATTATGTCACTAGGTGGCGTAGCTGTCACTCTCTGTGTACATGTCCATATTTTATACCAGGTCTCTCTCTGTTTTCATCAGTTTGGATTGGAGCTGTTATAAGAACATTATAAGCACAAGACCAGAAACTCTCAAACATTAGAAAAAATATAAAATTTATAGAAAACAGCACTCTGGATCTAAAATTTCACAGCTATTGTAATTTAAGATGGGACTTCAGTATGAACAACACAGCTGAGGGGAGATCTATCTGTAACTCAGTCACTCTGTGGGAAATTCAGCATGATTTATATTTATTATTATTATTAAAAGGTTTGAAACCACAGATTTAATGAATGTGAATACTTCACAAAACAATGAGAGGATATCAAGAGAAGGTCTTCTACAAGGAAGAATGATGACGATGAACCCAACTCATTCTACTTATTTATGTTGGAAAAAAGTTCCTTGATGAACTCTAATACTGACAAATTAAGATTTCGAGGGTACACACTGTTGTGGGAGGCTTTACAGTATAAAACAGTCTAGTATAGAAACAATTTGCAGAGCATAATTGGCAACAGGTTCCCTGTAAATGTTCTACAACAAGTGATATGTGATGTAAAGAACATGTAACCTGATATTACAGAAGAGGTCAGTAAAGTGTCTGCAGTTCAGGAAATACCGGAAAATAAGAATCAAACACAATCCAGATCAAACGCAAACTGACACATGCTAATTATCTCTTTGGGTGTGTTTGATTATCAGTCTTACTGATGCACATTGACTTTTATTAACTTTATATCTTTCAGCAACAAGGATGTTCTCCAGCTAATGTTGTCTTAACTCCCTCTCTGCTCTGGAAGTGTGAAAGTAGATCTAACAAATATCTGGCCAGTTTTATAAAGTAATGCACAGATAGAACTGGAAGAAACAGACACTGACAAACACTGACTGCTATTTCTGTAGCATGGCTGGTTAGTTGGGATTAGCTGATCATGGTGCTGTTATTGTCATAGAATATTTGTGTTTCATTATTAATTGTCTATAACAATATGATGTCAACACATATTGTTTAGTTACACTGTAACACACAGTCCAGGTTTCCATGATATCATCTTATTATTGTGTAACAAACTCATTCCGAATGATATTATCAATAAAATTAAATAAGAGAGCACATGTTTCAATTCATGTTTATAAATCAGCCTCCAACAAAGAAAAACTCAGCAGTTTCACTGATCATTTATGGGAACTGAAAATAATCATCATAGTGATAAGTCAAAGCTAATGTACTGTAATGTACAAACGGCTCATTTTGTCCAGACAATCGTCTCTTTAATCTGATATCTGTGGTGTTCTCACATGAACTCATAAATGTGGACATGTGTAAGCTGTACAGACCAATCAGGACGGCTCCTTACTTGTATTTACCATAGTCAGTGACAGTAACAAGAAGTCAATAATGGCTGCATAAGGTCAATATGACAAACATGCTCAATTTTCCATGACTGCTTTTTGTTTGGGTCACAGGTTTTAAGCTTCTAGCATCTCCAATAGGAACCAACCAACCAATCAATCAGCAGATGATTATGTGGATGTTTGTTAATATAACCATTTTAATCACATATTCATATACTAGAGGAAGCTTGAATCATTTGTTGTGACTGATGAACTGTGTATTTTTGTTGTTTAAATGTATTTCATCCTCGTTCAGTGCATAATGCTCTTGATAGGAGCAACGCAAATTATATTCTTTTATGAATTAAGAAAATGAACCTTGAGCTTTTCAGTCCATGTAATTTGGAATTTTGCACTTTGACCTTCAGAACCATTCACAGTGGATGAAACTTATCATATCATATTACCACCACAGCCTGAGCTCTACTGGGGACCTCGCCAAAGCACCATCCAGCCACGTCAGCACAGTTTTAAGAGGAGAGAGAAGGGACCTTTGTTCACAGAGAACAAAGCTGAAAATCTGTTTGACCCTTTAATGCAACACCTCTGCCATCTTCGAGAAATGTCATACCTTCTATTTTTGTCTGTTACTGTTCTCTACAATAGGTTACATTATTAATATTATTAATAATAATTATTATAATGCTTTTATTTGGAAAAAATATTTACACTAACGCTTAACCAGAGATGATTTAAAAATTAGAACTGTAGTATTTTTCATAAAAAGTAATGTATTTTATCTTTTCTGAATCTGAAGACAATTGACATCTAAGGTTACTGTCTAAATTTTCTGTGGCATAGAGAAAACCATGAAATCCTATATTCTATATTATTATTTTTTAAATCAGTGTTTACAATGATACACAAAGGTTGATGAAAATCTATTTACATTTACTAAAATTTTATATAAATTGAAAAAGGTAAATGTATTAAATGAATGTTTTTGTAATGTTGATCAATTAAGGATATTTGGTAGGAACAATTGATGAAAACCATAAAAAATAAACATGTTGCAGATTAAAATCTTAACGGCGGTTAAAATTAAAATTCATAGAGGTTCATTTTAAAATTTGGGAGGGTCAAAAGTGACCATAGATGCAGAAACACCTGTGTACAGTTATTTATTTGCAATAGTAAAGTCATTCTTGTCAGTCTCATTATAATATTACAGGTTATTGTTTTGCATCATTATTGATTGTTTTCTTGCACTGATGATGACTGACTGTCATTGTTTTCATGTGTACAGTTTGTCTTGCACTGGGTGTGTTCTTTGTTGTGTATTTTGTGTGGCTTTAATGTCTACTCTATGTGCTCTTTAAATTTCTCCCTGGGAACAAATAAAATTTCTTGAATTGAATTTAACCTGAGATCTAAAGTATTCACCCAGTGACTTTACTCTAGTAAATACAACGATGAGAGAGGTCTTGTTATTTGATTGTCACTTTATTGATATAGCACTCTTCATCTGCAGATCTATTACACAGTGCTCAGTCAGGGGTCTACAGTGGCCCTCAAGGACAAGCACAACCAAGACAGAAAGCACAATCATTAAAGGGCCTAGTTTCCAGTAGTGACTCGATCAGACCATCAAACATCAGAGAGCAGCTATAGTTTAGATAAGTGATTATGAGGCAGGAACTGCTCCTGCAGCAGTCACTGATAACACTGATCTTTTCTTCGGTATCTGAGGACTTTGGTGGCTATTCATTATGAAACAGGTCTGAAAAACACAAAACCATGTCAAATAAACCAAACTGTCACACCCAGCATACGCAGATGACAGTTATAAAACCACATTATCAATACAGATTAATAATTCATCTGTGTTCCAGTGTGTTATCAGGCACGTAGCAATATTTCTAATAAGAAAGATTCTTAATGATTATGTTCTCCAGCTTCTGACAACAAAAGAAAGATTACGTAATCTACATGTTAGCTCTAAACCTTACACTTATGCAATTTTATGGACAGACTATTGATAAACAGTACATGGAGCAGTTAAGGAGAGCCAGTGATCATTACTCAGATCACCTGTGTGATCTTGGACAGCTGCCAGTAGAAATTTGCATTAAAAATGCCACGTTGTTGGAAATGTGCTTATTCGATTTCTCTGAGATGAAGAGATGCAGCTCATGTCTGTATGGAAAGTAAAGACTGGAGGCGGGGGCAGACAGCTGTGTCCAAAGTAGAAAAATCAATCCTCACTGATTAACATGGTGTATCTTGTTTGTTTAACTTATAACTTGTAAGACAGAATCAAAAAATGTCCACTTGTGGTTTTCAGGGAAGTTTTGTCTGTTTCTTGTTAGAGCAGTGAATGTATGAAGCTTCCTGAAGTTTAGTACCATCCATGTAGCTGAAGATGAGACTGTCCTGTAAAATAAGACCAGACCAAAACCTTGTATCTGTGTGGACCACATCGTTGTCTATGTTTTTTCAGGTGTCCCATTGCAATAGCAGGTGATCTGTCTACAGCAGGATTAAAATACAACAGCAAAGGGCAAAGAGAACCTGCAGCACTTTGTGCAATGCACAGGTGAAGCGGACTGCAACATGGGCTTGACAACCTGCTGTTGCAGTCCAGCCAAAAACAGGTCCTTAGCTCATCTGTGCAGTGGCTTATTATGACCCATAGATATGATTCACTGTTAGGTGACCTCTAATGGTTGTAGTAATTATGACATGAGCAAAGGAGGAAGTCAGATGATGTCCACATTAAACCAGTTTTATGTTTCATCCACGAATACATGAGGGTCTGCTAAGGTCCACATGTTGTGTTAATTTCATCATCAGAAGGTTTTCACAAGGCTCTGGTGCAGACGTCTGTGTACCCACCAATTATCAGGCACAAACTAATAATGGACCAACAAAGCAGACCCACCAATTTGCCATCACGCTACAATGGTACTAATGGCATAGGAGCTGGAAAACAAAGGAAAGATGCTGAGTTTGAACGGCAACAGCACAGTATAGCAGACAAAGCACAACAAGCTGCTTGCTGTAGACAATCTCACCTGCTCCTAACAAGAAACCACGTTCAGAGCAAACTTGCAAATTTCCTAAAATGTAACCAAGGAGGTTTTTTGCCTTAACCTAACCAAATCATGACTGTTCCACAACCTTATTATCATCGACATGATGGCAAAGATCTGGTACATGCTTGTACGTTCCCTGTATCCAAGGGTAGATATACCCTATAATTTTTCAATTGTAGGTTAAAGAAACAGGATACATGCGGAGATAATTAGTTTAATAATAATTTCTCTTTGGACTGAGCCAGGCTAGCTGTTTCCCCTGCTTTAAGTCATTATTCTAAGCTAGGCTAACCTTGTCTTGACTCAATTAAATCCTTCTTATAAGAATAATGAACAGTGTTATTCTTCTCCTGTCATTCATGTACTGTATTTCCCTCTCACTGTTAACTGGGCCTTCCTCATCTGTAATCATCTTCCTCAGTATGTGTGTAACATGACCTGATGTCTTCTAAGTAATGTGCTGCTTTGTTGCACTATCACTATACCATATACTATAGCTTATCATCATATGTCAGCTGATGTCTGAAGTTACTTATCTTATCGCTTTTTCTACCTACAATATACTTGATGTGTCATGACTGCCCACAGGACATCTGAGGACTGATACCTCCCTCCTCCACAGGTGGTGATGTACTGTATATAAAAAGCCGGAGAACTCACTGGTTCCTTGGAGATCCCAAGGTAAGGAATTCAGCAGCAACAGTTCATTTCCTCTCTACCTGACTGTAGACTGTAGGCACTAAGCTCTGAAGTGAATGCTTTGGTTTCCTCTGAGTGCATCATCTAACATTGTATATAGGGCTGGGATGGAAATGTGACAGTTAAACTGCAACACCTGCAACCAGGGGCTTATTGGCTGGCTCAGTGCTCTGAACTCTGAAAGTACTCTGAACGCTCACAAACTGAACTGCAGTCCAAGATCTGAATCATTAAGGCATTTCTTCAGTAATGTCATTATGAACATGCCACAGTTGTTAGTTATGTTGTTGCCATTATAATGATTTTGAAATAATGTGAAACAGTTCACAGCAGAAATTTTGAGTGGTCAAAGCAGAAAAGGGTGAACAAATGTTTTTAAGGATGGCTCAGTTCCATCTAGTGTCTCAGACAGACAGTGAGCCTGCAGGCACAGCACCAGCACCTTGAAATTGGAGCTCACCTAAATGGAATGCAGCCATTTTTAATATTATCAAGTACACCTATGATTTTCCTGCAGAATGTCTGCTGTGAAAAGGGTGACAGATCCTTAATGTAACTAATGGAACTTAGCTTGATTGTATTATAAACATCAAGCTCTAAAGATCTTTAGCGTCACAAGAGGAATTGTTGAAGCACCAAGATGAAACTGCTTCACAGTTCATATCTGTAAATATGTGATCATATTATAATCATTTTTATTACTTTGTTTCTCAGAAAGTTGAAGTTGTGAGCTTTGAAATCAAGATGACCAAGCTCACTGTTCTAGCAGGTAAACTCTTGTCAGGCCTCAGTGCTTTACATCACCATAATGCATTCATAAATGACATTGATCAATATTTATTTTGTCCGTTTCAAAATATAAATAATGCATCTGAGTGTGTTCCTCTCTATAGGTCTCTGCCTGGTGATGTGCCAGCTGGGTAAGTTAAACCTAAATAGAACTTGGGCACTGTGAAGTTTGTACTGACACTGACTACATGTCTCTAAGTGTCTGAAAATAATAGAGACTGAATGCATTCCTGCACTGAATGCTGACCACAAATTTTCTCTCACTGGTCTCCAGCCACTGCCTCCCAGATGGTGTGCTACTTCACCAACTGGTCCCAGTACAGACCTGGGACTGGGAAATACACGCCCCAGAATGTAGATCCCTTCATGTGCACCCATCTGATTTATGCTTTCTCCATCATCAACAACAAGAACGAGTTGGTCACCTATGAATGGAACGACGAGACCCTGTACAAGACCTTCAATGGCCTGAAGAGCAAGTAAGAACTTTCCACAGTGTAAAATCTTCTCTCTGCTGCTGAAGCTTCAATCTGAGTGTAAATGACTGAAACTGAAATGTGAACTTTAATAATCAGAACATTTCTCTGTTCGGCTGTTTTCACATGCTGTGTGATAAACAAGCTTTTGTTGACTCAAATATTCTCTATCATGCAAATCATATGACATCACATCTGTGTTCTAGAAACCCTGGTCTGAAAACATTACTGGCTGTTGGTGGGTGGAACTTTGGCTCAGCTCAGTGAGTATTTCTGCTCTGTTCAGTGAAGTTTAGCTTCTTTGAAAAATCTCTGACATTGGATATGGACTGGAATCTCACACTGTAAAAGTTTAGTTTAAAAACATTAGGAAATCCTTTACCTTTGGAAAAGTAAAAGAACTCAACTGTGTCAAGTTGTGTGAGATGATCATGTGTTTAGTGTGAACATGGGTTATTTGAGTAAGTTGTGCTTTTTTAAAGATGTGACTTCATGTATCAAAACAGTCAAATTCAGGCTGTTACAACTCTAAACCTACGAGTCACATTAACTTCATAGATTCTGACAAAACAACAACTGAGTATTACTTTGAATTTATAATAATACACTGCACTTAATGTGTATTTGTGTTGGAAGTCAATAAGAATAAGTCACATGAACTACTGCCACAAAAGCTAATCTCGTTATATGTTGCATGAGTTCTCTTTGTTTTTAGTTCTAGTTAACATCAAGCTAATTTCCCTGCAGGTTCTCCATCATGGTGTCCAATCCAGCCAACCGTCAGACATTCATCCAGTCTTCTATCAAATTCCTGAGGACTCATGGATTTGATGGTCTGGATCTGGACTGGGAGTACCCTGGATCTCGTGGAAGTCCCCCAGAGGACAAGAAAAGATTCAGTCTGCTCTGCAAGGTGGGTCATAAATTCTTGAGCCACAGGGAATAGATACAGTGTATTGTATCAATAACACACACACACACACACACACACACACCATGTCTTATTAATTGTCTTCATCTGCAGGAACTGGTTGCTGCCTTTGCAGCTGAGGCCAAGGCCACCGGTAAGCCTCAGCTCATGCTGACTGCTGCAGTGTCGGCTGGGAAGGGAACCATTGATGCTGGATATGAGATCGCTGAGATTGCCAAGTACTGCAGCCTTTTTTTGAAAATTCTGTTATTTTTAATCAATCATTGTTATGGATTGGTTGGCTCAGTAGCTGGTCTTAATCAGTGTTCCATACACATTTCCAGGCACCTGGACTTCATTAATGTGATGACCTATGACTTCCATGGAGCTTGGGAGCGATCCACTGGACACAACAGCCCTCTGTACCGTGGCTCACAGGACAAGGGTGACCTCATCTACTTCAACACCGTAAGAGACCGAGTAGAGCTATGGAGCCTTAAATATTGATGAAAGACATTATTATAGCAGATTGGTACAATATTTAAAATAACCAAACTGGTTTTACACAGAAAGGCCTGTTATTGATTATGAGGAGTACTACTCAGCTACAACTACATATTAAGTCTTCTGTAGCTGACAAAATAACTCTGAGGACAGCAGAGTGATAATGGGCTTAAGACTAGAAATAGTTCACCGGTGTTCAGACTGAAAGCAGCCCTGACAGTCCAGTGTGAACATATCTTCACAAAGTGGGGTTGTTGAATTTGGAAAAAGCGGGAACTGACCACACAGGGAGTGTTTAACATGAAAAATACAATTGGTTTCTTTATGGGAAATGTAGGATCTAGCACGTTTGTAGCTTGACAGATTCAACTAAAAGAACAGGATACCTCAACCTCTGCTGCTTTACCTCTCACGAGTTCCCGAACTTTATGGACGTGCAACAAAAAAACATGAGAATAGCCTGTTGATTCTGTTCATTAAGAAGTCTAGGCCTCTTGTCTATAGACTTCCTACATTCCTATTTCAGGACTATGCCATGAAGTACTGGAGAGACAAAGGCACCCCAGTGGAGAAGCTGAGGATGGGATTTGCTGCTTATGGTCGCACCTTCCGTCTGACATCATCAAACACTAACATTGGAGCCTCAGCTAGCGGTGCTGCATCAGCTGGTCCATTCACACGTGAAGCTGGATTCTGGTCCTACTATGAGGTGAAGTTTGAACAAAATGAAATACATACTAACACAAGTAGAGGAAACAGACCATGGAACAATCCAATGACATTTCCATAATCTGTTCCCTCAGGTCTGCAACTTCCTGAAGGGCACTACCATTCAGTGGATTGATGACCAGAAAGTTCCCTATGCCAGCAAGAACAATGAGTGGGTGGGATTTGACAGCAGGGAGAGCTATGAGATCAAGGTAGGTGGAACATCTATACATAGGAATTACCAACTGAGGGTTAATCTGCACAGTGGAACTCAAGACAGAATTCATTTTCCTCACTTTGTGACTAATCTTGTTCAATCCACAGGTCCAGTACATGAAGAACATGAAGTATGGCGGTGCCTTTGTGTGGGCACTGGATCTGGATGACTTTAAAGGAGAGTTCTGTGGACAGGGAAACTATCCTCTGCTGTCCCATCTGCGCAAACTCCTCGACATTGGTGAGTCTTGCTTCTCTTCTTTTTGGTGAGCCAGTGTTTACCCAGATTTTCAGGCAAGACATGAATAAGGAAGTTAATATGCGCAATGTTTTAGGGAATTACAGTGGTACCTTAATTCAATTCGTATCTGAACTTTAGATATAATGTTGTCTTTCTGTGTCTGTCAACTCTCACAGAGACGCCTCCACTTCCAGCGACCACAACCAAGAAACCTAGTGTTACCACCACAAAACCAGTCGCTACCAAAACACCCAAACCTGTTGTTACCACTGCTGCACCAGCCTCCACCACCACGCCCAAACCCAGTGGCACCACCAATGCTCCGTCCACCAGGACCACCATCCCTATTCCAGGACGTGGTTTCTGCAAAGACAAGCCCGACGGCACGTATGCCCACCCAGATGACAAGACCAGCTTCTACGTGTGCGCAGGTGGCCGAACCTACCTGAGGAAGTGTGGAAACGGTACTATCTTCGAGGAAAGCTGCAAGTGCTGTGTGTGGCCCTAAGTGTGGAGGACTGTCACTGTCTGACATCTCAGATCTGACCAAACAAGCTGAATGCATCTGGAGAAACATCTTTTTTGTTCTTTTTGATTAGGCTGTAACTGTGATTTTAGGAAAAAGCTTGTAAATTGGACGTCAAAAGTAAAATTCAGACCATGTCTGTTCCATCAGAATAAAAATATGATGACAAATCAAAAACTTGTCTGACAAATAATTCAAAACAAAAACACCTTTTCACCTCATCTTCCTCATTTCTACATGTTACATATGAAGAATTATATTGTAGAAATGTTGACAGAATAAATATGCAGATAAAGTGTTAAAACTGGAGTTAGACTGCCTCCACTGGTCTGGAGGTGAGTAGGTCTGCTCTCCAACAAGTTAACTGGCAGTGGTGGCATTCACTCAAATTCCTTAAAATCATTTTGAAGTCAAAATAAAGTGTAAGGAGTCCTGCTTGGGTGTGGAAAAAAGTGTCCCTCTGGTGCTCTTCAGTGTGGGGATCTAAATCATTCTTGATTCTTGGCAAAATCTAAAGCACTCAAGAGAGTGGTGATTTAAAAAGCCTTTATTTCCTCATGGCTTTGATACAACAATAACAACAAAAAACAATCTGATCATGTGACTAATGCTACCTTATAAATGAAAGAGCCCAAAGGTGACCATTTCATACTTGCCCTGATGAAGGCCTAATAGCAGAAACGCGTAGCCATTATTTTCCACTGCATTTGATAGCGGAAGTTATCAGTTACTTTGTATATTTAGATTAGTAATACAAAACATAATTAACAAATACATTATGATGCATTCAGGGGTGAAGCTAGATGCTCAGCACAGAGGAGGCAGAGCATTCTTGATAAACTCAGTTCACAACTGTAAAACAGCAGATACAGCCCATTAATCCTATCCATTAACACAAGCTGAGCTAAAGGATAAAGGTAGGATGAAGTATAGTATTACTGGATGTAGGTTAAAGCCTGGCACCTTTGTATAATAGTGCACCTTCAAATCACTGCTGTGTAGATATATCTGCTTCAAAGGACTGCTGTGTTACTTTTACATCCCATAACACTGCTTTCATTTGGCAGATGTTTCAGTCCAAAATGACTTAAAAAAAAGGCTAATCAAACTACAAAGTAGCCAGCGATAGATCATGCAAAACTGAGTGTATCCCTTTAAACCAATGACTAAAATGGTACAATGCAAGAGTTTTATTTAAACGAGACCAATGGTTGAGATTATACACTGAATTAATTATTTCAATGATTTTATAAAATAAATATATAGTTCATTTGCCATTTCTTAAATGTGTAGATTTATAGATAAAACATCAGTGTAATTTTCAGCTCTACTTCTACTTCAATACTAAATGATGTTATATTAATTATTGGGTTGAATCATCACATCTTTAACTGTAACAACATTTCTGTTTTGATCATGATAGTGTCATGTTTTGCCATGGCAGACACTTTTTGTTAGTTTTGTTTTGGACTTTTGCACTTCCTGTTTTATTTTGTATTGGGTTCCTTGTGTGTCTGAGTTTTGTTTCTTGTCTTGGTCTCGTTTCTGTGTAGTGATTGTCTGCCCCGCCCTAATGTGTTTCACCTGTGTGCAATCACCTTGCCTCCTGTGTCTATATAGTCTTTGTGCTCCCCTTTGTCTGTGTCGGTTCGTCTGTTGTTTTTCTCTGTTGTCTTCCAGTTTTGTTCACGTCTGTTCACGTTGTCTGTTCATGTCACGTTCACGTGTGGTTAAATAAACCTGTCTGCATCATATCCCATGTGTTGGCTGCATTTGGGTCCAGTCCTACTTACCTCAACACCCCTTGACAGATAGTATAAGCAGTCATATGAAACTGTCACACTGTAGTGAATATTTTATTCTGTCTCTGTAGATGTAACGTCTCCATGGTTTATAAATGGTACAGCTGTTCACACCATTCTGTGTATCCCAAGGTGCAACAGTCAGCTCCAAACTTATCTCAGTGTCAACTAGAGATTATTGTGGAGCATAAAGACAAGTGGCAGTCTGTGGAACATCTTGATGGTCAACGGTCACGGCAGGTGTTCAACAAAGGAGAGAGATAAAGTAATTACCCCCACCGAGGAGGTCATGTTTTCACCTGCGTCTGTTTGTTTGTCAGCAGGATCACACAAAATCAACTGAAATGATTTGCACCAGACTTGCTGGAGGGATGGGGGAGGGGCCAGAGTCTGCTGTATGTTGTTTGATATTGGTTGTGGTGGTGGTCTGCGCTCTCTGAGTGCCCTTTTAGTTGAAGCTAGGAATTAGAACAGAAGTGGTTATTTCATGATGAATCATATTTATTTGTTTTGATTATCATTGTCAAATCAGTCAAAACAAGTTTATCAGTAGCTGCTTTCAGGGGTAGCGAGTTCAAAAGCTTTTACAAAAAGTTGATTTCTTTGAAATACAGCATGAATTTATTTGGAAAATCATACATTTATAAGAAAATATAAAAAAGGAAGTACATTTCTAAATATAAACACTTATTAATCAGTTGTAAGTCTGTTAATTAGTTTATTATGTTTGTACTTCCAGGGAATCCTGGTGACCTGGTGGTCTAAGACACTATGTAAAAACCCTTGGTTCAGTTCTGGTGAAGAGTTCCCTCTCTGTCCTCATCTTTCCTGAGTGCGTCTCTGTCTCCAGTGTAAAATATCCAGTCATCTTTAAAAACATGCTCCCAGCTGTCCCGGTAAGATGTCCATTTTTATATTCACTCTCGTCTTGATTATTGTAATGCATTTTATCCGGGCATCAGCAGGCCTCATTCTCCCTCCTCAGCTCCTACAAAATGCTGCTGCTGGAACAGGTGCAATCACATGACTCCAGTGCTCTCCTCCCTACTTTTAGATATATTGTAAAATTTTATTACTGATTTTCTAAGGCTTTAAATGGCTCTGCCCCCAATTACATCTCTGATTTATTGACATGGTATGTGCCCAACAGAGAATTGAGATCTGCAGAAGGAGACCCATTGGTCACCTCAAGGTCAAGGTTTTTGACAAAGGGTGACCTGATGTTCACTATGTTCGAGCCCTGATACTCTGGAGCGCTCTTCCAGCTGAAATGAAATAACTCTTCTCCTCCTTTATTGGTTTATCCCAAATTTTGCTTTTACATATTTTATTGCTTCTTTTCACTTATTGTCAAATAATTTTGCAAGTTGATATAAGCACTGTATGTGTTTTTATTTATGCTGTTCTACTCTTTTTACTCTACTCAGGCTCTTTGGCCTTGCCTTCTGGTTTTGTTTTTCTGTTAAACACTTTGTAACTTTGTTAATAAAAGTGCTGTATAAATAAAGATATTGAAATTAAGTATTTTCACACAGTTGTTATTTGATACAGTTTCAATGAATTTAAGAACAAACAGATGACATAACATCATCTGTCAGTTTCATTTTATGATTAATGAGTTCTTCACTAGTCCTACTCTGAATAATATATTAATGGATTTTGTTTAAACTTTACCTTTTAATCTCTAGTCAAGTTACCATGACAACATAACATAACAAATAGTAACAAACATAAGAAAAAGACATTAAAGTCAAACCAAAGTCAAATATCAGGACTATGATCCACAGAGCTCAAAGGATGTTGTGGGTGATTAACGATATGATAATGAGTGATATTTCCACTGACCTAAATTACAACCAGGTCATGTGTTGGGTGCATGTTGTGAACAGCACAAACAGTGCTAAACTGAGTAATCTTAGTTTGCGAGATCTTATCAAATCATGTTCTAATAATCATTACAGTTATTGAACTCTGATAGGAAAAGGCTGCTGCACCTCCTCCTTCCTCCAGCCGCAATCAGCTGTATAAAAGGACAAAAGTTGCTGCTGTAGTTTGGGTCTCTCAACTGATCTCAAGGTACGTTCACAAGGGAAAGAAAGTTATCATTTTGATTGTGATTATCTTGAGAATGGTGGCTTTGTTGTGTTGCTTTACTCATAGACCTTGGTCCGCTTTTTGTTGTTACTTGTAGTAATCCAGTGAAGGTGTGAGAAGTGAATTGAAGATGACCAGGCTCACTATTCTTGCAGGTAGTTCATATTGATGTATGTATGTACATATGTATGTATGTACGTATGTATGTCTGTATACACACACACAAATTATTCTTCATTAACATTTTCTACATATGTATGTTCTTTAGGGTTATGTCTGGTGATTTGCCAGCTGGGTAAGTCCTAATACTCACCATTTGATTTGATGTTTCACTCGTATATCATTACTGTAATCAATGCCTCTTTAACGATCCTTCACTCCAACACAGGATCTGCCACCCAGATGGTGTGCTACTTCACCAACTGGTCCCAGTACAGACCTGGTGAGGGCAAATATATGCCAAAAGATGTGGACCCCTTCCTCTGCACCACTCTGATCTATGCCTTCTCCATCATCAACCATAACAACGAGCTGGTTACCTACGAGTGGAATGATGATGTCCTCTACAAGTCCTTCAACGCTCTGAAGACCAAGTAAGTGGCAAAAGATGAGGTACCCTTGTAGAGGTCACGCTAAGCTACAGCATCTATGAACTAAGAGAAGTTCAGTGCCTTCAGAAGAAGCTTTCAGCAGGGTGATGTTGCTGATTCAAGCTTGAAGATGTTTCCAACTGTAAAATGCAAATACACCTCTTTCACTTGAGCCTGTTTCAAGCAATTACATGCTTGAATAAAGTCAGATGGAAATGTAATCGATCCTCTCTGCTGCTTCAAGGAATCCTCATCTGAAGACTCTGCTGGCTGTTGGTGGCTGGAACTTTGGTTCAAGACAGTGAGTAACATTTTACACCATAAACACAAAATATCAGTTGCTTGTATTCAGGTACATAGTGCTAGGAGTTATGTTAGCAATGTCCTATAACCCAGATAGCAAAATGAAACCTCAAATCGACTCTGGCCCCTAAACTTACACATCTGGGTTTCTGTTGACAGCCAAGATTTTCTGTGTGTGCCAGAACTAGTCCAGATGTGCAAGTAGCATCTGACAATCATGCTGTATGTGGGCCAGACAGGCAAAACCAGGCGTAGACTGAGCCACAAGAAACTCAATATGTAAACCAAATATTTGCCAGAATAATTTTGCTCTCTGTGTAGTTACATTGTTGAAACACCCTGAAGGTCCAACGAAATTTTTATTGTGACAAATGCAAGCTAAATATAACAATTTTCTTTTTGATAGCTAGCTAAACCAAGCTAGCACCTAGCCACTTCTAATTACATCTACGTGATTTACTGCATAGCTAACCAGATAATATGGTTTAGGAGATATCAAGATAACACATAAAAATGAAAATGTATTAATAACATAACTAATTTCCAATCAATATTAATCATCCATGCCTTTAAAACTGCAATCAGTTATTTCCCAAAAGTTAAGAGCTGCTGAAAGCTAATTAAGGATGTTTGCTTTACATAAAGGTTTCACAGAGCTCATTGTTCCCTGCAGGTTCTCAATCATGGTGTCTACTCCAGCCAACCGTCAGACATTCATCCAGTCTTCTATCAAATTCCTGAGGACTCATGGATTTGATGGTCTGGATCTGGACTGGGAGTACCCTGGTGCTCGTGGAAGTCCCCCAGAGGACAAACAGAGGTTCACTTTGCTCTGCAGGGTGGGGACAGATCTCTCTTTAGTTTCAGCCTGCAACTCACAGTTTCTGTCACGCAGTTTAGATTATGCTGTTCTTTTTTCTTACTTCTTCGATGTGTGTTTGCAGGAACTGGTTGCTGCCTTTGCAGCTGAGGCCAAGGCCACTGGCAATCCTCAGCTCATGCTGACTGCTGCAGTTGCAGCTGGGAAGGGAACCATCGATGGTGGATATGAGATTGCTGAGATTGCCAAGTGAGTGTGTTTCCGTGAATGCCTCTTAAAGAAGAAAACTGGGATTTAAGGAGAGGTTTTTGAAATGAGTATTTCTCTTGTACCTGTTTGTTTCCAGGGAACTGGACTTCATCAATGTGATGACCTATGACTTCCATGGAACTTGGGAGCAGTTCACTGGACACAACAGCCCTCTTTTCCGTGGCTCTGAGGACTTCGGTGATCTAATTTACTTCAACACAGTAAGTAGACATTGTGGACTAAAGAGAGATGAACTGGATGGGACCTTTTTAATAGAGCCTGACATATCAGTCGACAATTTTAAAAAGACAGTATCAGTCGGGCTCTACTTTTTACTTTAGCTTCACTTCACCTCTTCCATCAACTTTTGTAGGACTATGCCATGAAGTACTGGAGAGACAATGGCGCCCCTTTGGAGAAGCTGAGGATGGGATTCGCTGCATATGGTCGCACCTTCCGTTTGACATCATCAAACAGTAGCGTTGGAGCCCCAGCTAACGGTGCTGCATCAGCTGGTCCATTCACACGTGAAGCTGGATTCTGGTCCTACTATGAGGTAAGGTTTAGATGAGGCTCAAGTAAACTCATTATGACATGATGTACATGGATTTAATGGCTTATCATGTTGTCTTTGGTCTAGATTTGTGGTTTTGTGAAGGGCACCACCATTCAGTGGATTGAGGATCAGAAAGTTCCCTATGCCACCAAGAACAATGAGTGGGTGGGATTCGACACCAAGGAGAGCTATGAGATCAAGGTAGGTGGAACATCATCTCTATATTTTTACATCACATTCACAGTGTGTCCAAGGTAGTTACACCAGTCTTTTTATTTCTGCCCCAATAGGTGCGCTACCTGCAGGAGCATAGGTTTGGTGGTGCCTTTGTGTGGGCCCTCGATTTGGATGATTATGCTGGACGATTCTGCGGAGAGGGCAGCCACCCTCTGCTGGCTCATCTTCGTAAACTTCTTAATATTGGTAAGTTTATAGCATGATTCTTCAGAGTTAACAGTTATCAGTTTTTTATCATATCAGAAGCAAATTTCCCTCAAAGTTTCTATATGGTAGTAGACTGCATACCCGCGCCAAAGCAATCCTACACTTCTCCCAGATCCAGATTATTATCACCAAAATGTACAAAGTCATAGATCTTAACACCACAAATACTTCAGATTTTTTACATCAAGAGCCAAACAATATTCCTTGAGAAAGTGTCAAAAAATATCCTATCTCACAATATTTCGTGAAGTCAAGTGAAAAATTCCTGCATCCGCCCCTTTGACCAGATCTGCAACAAAATTTTATGAGTTCTTCTCTGGCCCATGAGCCATCCCTCTATCAAATTTGGTGCAAATCAGTTGAATTCAAACAAACCTCCTTGGCGGAGGATAAAAATACCAAAAATGCAGTACCAAAAAGTGGTATTCTGCAGATAACGGCATCAGGGATTCTATCTGCCTGACTGTGAGCCTTGATAATATCCCACATCTTGTAATATACTGGAGTAATAATGTGCAGTGCTGCCTGGATTATTCAGTGTCAAGTTATAGACAAACATTAAAGGACATTTATTCTGTCAAATCCATTCAGTAACAAACATTTCTTCTGCCTCCCTTATCCAGAGCTGCCCCCACTGCCCCCTACCACCACTCCCAGACCTGGTGCTAGCACCACTTCCCCAACTACCACCACCACTACCACCACCCACGCCCCAGGATCCGGTTTCTGCAATGGCAAACCTGACGGTCTGTATGCCAAGCCAGAGGACAAGGCCAGTTTCTACATGTGCGCTGGCGGCATCTCCCACGTGAGGCAGTGCGGGAGTGGAACTGTCTTTGACAACAGCTGCAAGTGCTGCGTGTGGCCCTGAGCCACAAATGGAGACAATGTGTATTACAACTGATTCAAATATCAGCCATTAAACTGACTGAACAAGTTCTCTTATATCCACTGTGTTTACAATCATTCACCTATGTGAGTCATCATCATTATAGATACAACATATTTTCTTGTGAAATAAATGCCATTTGCCGATTGCAAACACAAGCACTGAAGTACTTTGGTACTAATCACTGAGTGCTGACTCATTGTTTCAGTCTATTTATTTTAATCTGCTAGTTTCTCGACGCTTTGTTCCACAAACCCTCATGTTACCACAGTTTAACCATAGAGCTTGGTGTCACTTTTTTCCAGCACCACTAACAGTATGATATGTTAGTTTTTGTTCTGATATCAAAAATTGATTTATACCTTGCTTTGAGTATAGTATTTCTGTGTATGTCTAACACAATAACCCTCTCAAGTGCAGTGTTTCATATCAACACAAAAAGCTGCAGGAACTTTGTACAAATACAGTATAAAATTAACTATGAATAAATGTATAAGACCTACAGTGTGATACTAATGAGTCCCAGCTTTGCATGCACATTACTGTGAGTACAGAGGTTCAATGGTGAAAACAATGAATGTGCAGTCTGAATATTATGACAGGTTTTTATCACTTGTTAGTTTGTCAGACCAGTGGTGAGATAAGAAAGCATCAAAGGTGCAGATGAGACTGAAGACAAGATAATTAGTCTGCTACTGACTCTACACTACAAAGAACAACAGTGTTTATGGTTCATGATAGGATCGCAACTCTGCTTCTGCCTGCAGTGCGACTCTTCAAAGATATAATATAGACTGACAAACCAATCACTAGAGTCAACCAAAAAAGAGGAAATGACTTCACTTAGAACAAACATAAGAATAAGAATAACTGACAAAAGTAAACTGGGAGATAAGATATGTGTAAGGGGGCAGCACTCAGCTTCACCCTCATTTACAGTGTGAGAGTGATTTAGCAGACTTTGTCCAGGTTACACTACAGCTCAGACATCACTGTTATTGATAAGTGTTCTATTATTGAACTTAATCATTAATGTGACATGGGTCACTGAATCAGAAACCACATCAAGCCTACATAAGTTTTATGCCAGCATGGGTGAAAAGTTTTATTTGCATGGCAGGCATCAACAAAGGACTTTGTTCAACTGACAGAAACTTCACAGCAGTATGAGGCATGTCTTTACCTCCCAACTTCTCCTACAGCTCTTCTAAAAGTATTTAACAGATTATTAGAAAACTGAGGTTTGCCTTGAATATACTGAACATGTGGAGCAACAGAAGAAAAACTGCCTACACTGCAAAAGTAGTTTTAAAATGTTTCTATCAAAGTTTTCATTCATCTTTTCTTGTGACTCTGGGTCAACAATGGAATCAGTGTTCATTAAATCTAAATTCAGCTCTACAGGAGGTTACTGTTTGATACTCAGATGAAAGAGATTCAGAGTGGAGGTATTCAGTTATCAGTGCATGAGCAAACAAAGCTCTGTCAACAAATTTTGAACTGATTCTAGTGAATCACCTTTGCCACTGACTGAACCAGGAGCTTTTAACAGCTGAACTCCTGTTTTTAGCTCAGCTGTGATTCACAGGACATTTCCTCCAACCATAGAAACGACCATAATCTGATAACTCTGTCATATCTTATTAGCCTGAACTAGCAAATGGATGAACCAGTGTTCCTGTAATTGTGTACGTACAAAGCGTCTTTGAACAGTAATGTATATCATCAGACCTGCGGCCATATGTTTTGGACAGTCAGGTGAAGAGAGGGGCAAAGCTGTCAACTGATCACCACCTGGTGGTGAGTTGGATCAGATGGCAGAGAAGGCAGTTGGACAGACCTGGTAAACCCAAGCATGTAGTGAGGGTGCACTGGGAACATAGGTGGAGGCTTCTGTCTGTGAGATCTTCAACGTACATCTCCGGGAGAGTTTCTTGTGCATCCTGGGGGAGGTTGGGGACATGTAGTCAGAGTGGGCCATGTTCAAAGCCTCCATTGAAGAGGCGGCAGTTAGGAGCTGTGCCCTCAAGGTCATCAGTGCTTGTCAAGGTGGCAACCTAAGGAGCCGCTGGTGGACGCCAGCCGTAAGGAAAGCAGTCAAAGTGAGGAAGGAGGCCTTTAGGGCCTGGCTGGCCAAGGGGTCTCCAGAAGCAGCAGACTGGTACCAGATGTCCAAAAGGGCGGCTTTGGAAGTTGCGGAAGCAATAACTCAGGTGTGGGAGGAGTTCGGCCATGCTATGGAGGAGGACTTTCAGTTGGCCTTAAGGAAGTTCTGGCAAACTGTTCGGTGACTTAGGAAGGGAAGCAGGACTTGACCCAGGCTGTGCTCAGTCGGGGAGGAGAACTGCTGACCCGGACTGGAGATGTCGTTGGTGTCATGGGTCGCCATGACGGACATTTTACGTTTGAACTTTTGTGTTGTTTGCACTTTGTTGGGTCATTTCCTGCTTTATTTTGTAGTTACTTTCCCTGTGTCTCTTGATGTTTTTACTTCCTGTCTTTGTCTTGTTTCCCTCCTTGTTGATTGTCTGCCCCGCCCAATGTGTTTCACCTGTGTTCAATCACCCTTGCCCTCCCTTGTGTCTCTTTAGTCTCTGTGCTCCCCTTTGTCTGTTCGAGTCCCCCGTGCTTCTGGTACCTGTTGTCGTTCCTTGTGTACCCTCGTGCTTCTGGTTCCTGTTGAAGTTCCCTGTGTTTCCTTGTGCTTCTGCTACCTGTTCCTGTCCCGTTTTATTCTCCATTTTAACTTTTGAGTTCTGTAAGTAATTCACTTTTTGCTATTAAAAAAGTCCTTTTTCCACCAACTCCCTTTTTCGGCATTTGGGTCCAGCCTTATCTTATTTGTGACAGTACGAACTGACCAAAAAATGGACCCAGCAAACTATGCCAGTTTCATGTCTTTTTTGCAGTTGCCTCACCGCAAGCCTCAATCCTCCCAGCCAGCACCCCCGTCAGTCGTTGACCTCCCTGGCTGATACATCAGCTGTTCCAGCGTCGGGGGTTCCGGTCGGCATGCAAAATGGTTTAATGACAGATGAAAATTAAAACTCAAAATCCAAACAGGCAAAACAGGGAAAAACTGGCGAACCAACAGAACAGGAAACCGAAGTATGAGAGACTAAATAGACACAAGGGAGGCAAGGGTGATTGAACACAGGTGAAACACATTAGGGTGGGGCAGACAATCAATGAAGGAGGGAAACAGGACAAAGACAGGAAGTACAAACATCAAGACACAAGGAAACTGGAGGGGAAGCTCATTTTCGGCCTACATCATAAAATGTGTCCGTTTATTTATATGTCTCAGACAGATCATCCAATCATCATGCAGAAGCCTAGCGTCCGGGCCAGCCCACTGCCCCATAGACCCCCAGAGACGCTGAGCGTCCAATGGGCGGGACAAAGCCCAGCATTTATCCAATGACCGTCTAGTTTCACTGCAGTGGAACAACCCACTCTGTGCTTCCCCGTTGAAGTCAGTAGACGGTCGGCGTCTACACTGTGTAAAGCACTGTGGCGCTGCGGGGATGAATGAGAAGGAAGTCGTGTCGGTTACCTGTGATAAGTAGCTGATTCTGAACAAAAGATGAACGTGTTCTAGCGCATATTTAGTCAATGAAATGTACACACAACAGTACATATTTGACCACTTATTTTGTTGATATTTTAGGGGAAGCTGAGCTTCCCTTGCAGTCTTAGAGCAGTCGCCACTGATATATATATGTATATATATATACATGTGTGTGTGTGTGTGTGTATGAGCTTGTACCATGTTAGGATTCTGGCTTTTCAGCTTCAGAGAGATGTGGGGTGACAGTGCTGGTTACCTTGTTTACTGTGTCGCTCATCATTCTTCGCATCATTGACGCATTGAGCATCATTAAAATGCTTCTGCTTAAGACATCTGGGTCTCTCAAGTCCAGGACCGCTGTCCAGCAGCTCCAGCAGGTTTCCATCCCACCGACGGCTGAAACAAAAGGAAAAAAACATCCAACAATAAAACTTTCACACTGGTATTGAAGATGACATTATAGAAACACAAGGACTCATTGCCTCATTAGACCAAGTTAATATGAATATTCCAGCTTTAATGACATTTTCTTCCTGTTTCCATGCTTCAGTAGAAGAGTAGAAAACATCCTGTTCAGTCTTCATCCAGATCCTCATTTCTCACTACAGTGTAAAATGTGAGCAGTGTCAAAGCCACAGAGGAACATGAGGGGATTCACCACAGTGATTCACCCTGAGCGACGACTGAATCTCTGGCTGTAGCTGCTGGGGCTGTCAGGTCATCATGATGACATCATCAAAGCAGCAGCTCCCTGTGGAGCCTCCTCTCCTGTCTCTGCAGCTCATCCTGCAGCTTGAGCCTCCAGGTCAGAGCTCAACACTTCAGTCCGACACATCCTTTGTCCCGCCAGTCTTTGTCTATTCAACACTGTCAGCAACAACATATCATGAAACGGACAGAGGGACGCCTCAGAGTTGAGTTTCAAACACAGGTTTCATTTAAAAAATGCTGAAAATCTGGAAGTGGGTCAGACTGTAATTCTTCATCACACCCTGACGTTGTCACATCTGACTCAGCGTACACTGGACCCATCACCATCATCGTCGTCATATGTCTCTGCTGGAAAAAGGCTCAACTTCAGGTGAAAGTATTTAGTGTTTGAAAACCAAACCATGTGACTCCTAGTCCTCATCCTCATCATTTGGCTGTCAAATCAATTGATGAGGCTGTAATTCTTCTTATTACTGTGTGATATTTCTGTGTTCTGTGTGTAACTGTTTGCTGGTATAAAGAGCGTCACACAGTCTTTGTACAATCACAGATTAAAGGGGGATTCTGTAGAAATGAAGACGACACAGTATAGATCACTTGCAGCTGAATACATTTAATATAAAATCTGAGGAACTTTATTTCAATATCTTATTTTCATGTCACTTTATTCTTCTACTCACCACATTTCAGCTTTTACTACATTTATCTGACAGGTGTAGTTACCAATGACTTTGATTAAGGTAATTGCACTGAAAAAAGCTGAAATGTTTAGTTGATTTATCAATCAGCTGATGACAGAAAGTAAACTGACAAGGCTCCAGAAGGTCAAGAAAATGAACAGCAGATTAATCAATAATGAAAATAATAGTTACAGTTACATCCACCTGACCCACCTGCTACAGTTAAATGTTATTTTTACATTAATGCATGAGTAATAATCCAATGATATCATATATAAAAGTACTACACTGTAGCAGTACTTTTACTATACCTCACCTTTCACTGACATTCTACTTCAGTCTATTCAATGTGATGTAATATATAATTGTTATTCATTCATTCCTCTTCTCTGTCTGTCTGTCCATGAACATATTGATATTGATATTTGTCAGTCTCTCTATATGTGACTATAGGTTAAAGAGGGAAACTGCCGTTTTGGCTTTTGGCCTCATGGTTTCCACATTGATCTTCATTTTCTTCAAGAATACAGTGATGAAGAGGCAAAGAAAATAAGGAAACATTATTTATCCTAGTCCTGCCTAAAGCCAAAGAAATAACATTTCAAATTTTGAATGACATCTATCCATCCAATCACTTCTTGCATATAACATTTAATTGGAACAATCCCTGTGGATTTTGTGACAGGGATATTGAGACTGTAGAGTATATTTTCTTTCAGTGTGGACCTGTCCATGAGTTTTGGCTTTGTTTCAGAGCTAGCTATAATCCAAAGACATTTTTCTACACTTACTAAATATGATGTGGGTTAAAGCTGGAGCACTTATTAAGGAGAATTTAGATTTTCTGATAAATAATTTTGTTATGTTAGGTAGGCATTTTATTCACAGATGCAAATATTTAAAGGTTAAGCCCCATATCACTGGTTGGAAAAATGAACTTTAAATGTATGACGGACAGAAGCGATTGTTGGACTTCTTTGTGTTACTTGAATTGGACCCTCACACAGTATGTCTTCTTAAATGTATCTTTTTCTTTTCTTTTTGGTTTACTGTATTTCAGTACTGTATCAACACCGACACATATTTACGCAGTGTAATATGTCAGTCAAGTGTTCTGTACTTGAATTTTTGAAAGAATAAAAGAAAACGAAAAAACATGAATAAATAACAATAGGGGTCACGTGACATACGTGACGAATAGAGGCTGTTGCTATGGAGACCGGAGACAAACACACTGCCTGCTGCAACAGACTGCAAAAAGTGCGACAGGTTTATAGGTGTTTTTCTCTCAGTTTTCAAAGGTGAGTTTAAAGACTCTATGCACGGTGCCGTTAAATACCGTTAAATACTACTCCGGTGGGCTGCCGTCAAATCCCCGTCTAACGCGTAATTCAATGCACGTTTACGTTCGCTGCGGAAAAAACTACAATGGATGAATTCAGCATTTGTCTTAAGTCTGACTATTTGTTATATCTAAGATACAGTCAAAGTCTGTCTCTGTGAAACTATTGTAACAACAGCAGCAGTAAAGCGAGAAGCCTCTCTGATCTCTGTAAAACATCACCTCTGATCATTTCCAGGACAGTAGCTGATGGAGCTGTGTTGCCTCTGGAGGGATGGAAATGATGTTGTCATAAGGAAATAGAGAGCTGTTGAGAGCTGGTGCAACATTCAATTGTTGTGCATGTTAAACCATCCAATGACTGTGAAGAACAGGGATGGAGCTAACGATCATGGACTCCTCAGTTCATTAATGAATGATTCTGTCTATAACGTGTAGCTGACACCTTCAGAAGCCTGGTTCTATCGACCAACAGTCCAAAGATTTTCACTTTCAGGAATGATCTCACAATGAAGCAGCTTGAACCAGAGATATTGGGGTTCTTGCATAAAAAATGATTGAAAAAATGGTTTTCCGGTTCATTTTCTATTTATAAACTTACCAATGAATCACCCAATGGTTTCAGCTCTAGTTTATTTCCTCGATACTGGGCTGCAGACACAGAGGTAGTGAGGACATGTGAATATTGACTTCAAGATATCTTCACACACTTCAACTTCACATGGATTAAACTGACCTTAATTCTTCATTTAAAATAAAGAGCAAAAATGTTTTCAGACATTTTTGAAAAAAAAAGGTGAGCACTGTAAATTGTGTGAGCTTCTGTACACAGGCGTGTGTGTCTAATCAGTTGGATTTACCACAGGTGGACTAGAGACATCTGCAGGATAATCAGAGGAAACAGGAAGCTCCTGAGTCTGAGCACCTCTATAAACACAGATCATATGGTTTGTGAATTTCATTACCAAATGAGTAGATTTAATCAATTTAAAGAACATTTTAAAACAGTAAAGTGAGCAGCAAGTCATGGGGTCTGAGGACTTTCTGAGGCCACTGTATTACAGCACATCATTATTTAGTACAACCTGCTGAAGGAAACTTGTGCCACTAATGTACCCTGAGGCCTGTCAGCCCCTCCACACCCACCCCGTGAGCCCATTTAAAAAAACTCCTGGTCCACCTGCTACACGTGACGCCTATCAGCTGAAATTGTCTGTCTTAAAAGCGTTGATTCTAACAGTGATGTTCTAATTTTGATGGTCAGATATTAAAGAAAGCAGTGTCAGAGTGACGAGCAGGAGGAGGCAACAATGCCGAAAAAAGCCAAGAAAGGTGGAGGAGGTAAGGGTGGTGGGAGGACGGAGAGGCTGGAGTTCCTGCAGCAGAGAGCTCAGGCTGAGGAGGAGATGGCCAAGAAAAGAGAAGAAACACTTGCTCAGTTTCTGAAGGTAACTCTCATTAATCTCTATTAATCTCAACTAATCTGCTATAATGAAGAGAGCTGCGGTGGTTAAAGATGTCAAGAGAAGGTGTCATCATGTATTTTACATCTGACTTATTTCTTAAGAACAAAAACTACATTTGAACTTTTCATGGAGAATTTGTTCCTGTTATAAATTCCTATGTGAATATAATGGAATGTTATATATTGTTTGTTATTTGAATTCATATGTAGAAATTTGTATTTATTTTTAAATGCAACGGTGGAAATGATCATCAAAATATTAAATAGATAGATAGATAGATAGATAGATAGATAGATAGATAGATAGATAGATAGATAGATAGATAGATAGATACTTTATTTTTCCCCTAGGGGAAATTCATGTGTCCATTATTGTTGATAATAATAACAAAAACAGTTAATAATAAATAAACAATAATAATTAGACTAGTCCACTTCCTTTGGCTGAGGTGTTGTATAGCCTGATGGCAGTGGGGACAAAGGATCTCCTGAACCTCTCTGTTCTGCAGCGCAGTGAGATGAGATGTTTGCAACTGTAGCTGCTTCTCTGTCCTGCCAGAATGTTGTGGAGAGTGTGGTTGGTATTGTCCAAGATGGCCTCCATCTTACATTGCATGCATCTCTCCACAACTGAGTGAGTCCAGACTCCTTTCAAGCACAGACTCAGCTTTTTTGACCAGCTTGTCCAGTCTCCTAGTGTTTATGTTGGACATGCTGCTGCCCAAGCAGACTGCAGCATAAAAGAGTACACTGGCCACCACTGACTGATAAGACATGTGCAGCATTTCACTGCAGACGTCAAAGGTCCTGAGCCTCCTGAGGAAAAAGAGCCAGCTCTGCCCCTACTGGTTGATGGCATCCGTGTTCAGGGACCAGTCCAGTTTACTGTCCAGGTGCACACCTAGGTATGAAGCCGCTGACACCAATCAGCTTCAGTGCTAATGCTCTGTATTTGGACTGACATGTGGCTGTGTCATTGGCTTTAGTTGTTTGATACCAGATGTTAAGGAGGTGACAGTCAGGGCACTCATTGGTGATGGATCAAAGTGCCCCATCCCTGCCCCTCTCTCCTCTCCCACAATGCAAATATTACACAGGGATTAAAACAGGACCAAAATGGAGACATGGCAAACAACAGGAACAACAAACATCTCCACAGAATGAAAATGAGTTGATTCTAAGGATAATCTCTGATCAACACCAGGGAAGTTAACATCAGTACATTTTTAGTTAGGGTTAGTTCATTTAATTAAATTTTTATCAGCTTCACAATAAAACAGAACAAACACACAAAAATAAATAAACAGAACAAATGAGACAAACAAGTCAACACAAATACTCCTGATTCCAATGGGAGAGAGTTCCAATATTCAGGAGCTTCAGGAGTCTCCTTTAGTCTTGATCCTGGAGCGAGGAACACCCAGCAAACCCTGATCAGAGGGGCTTAAAATCCTGGAATCATATGACTGCAGTGGCTCTTTGATACAGACAAGTACCTGGCCATGCAAGACTCTGAATGTCATCAGCAGAATCACCTGGATTTTGAATTTGATGGGAGGCCAGTGTGACTCTGAGAAATGTATTTTCTTCTATAAATTTCATAAATGGTTCAACTATCCACTAATTCTCTCCAAAATGTCCTGTGGGAGTTTTCTACTAAAACTTCAGCTACTTCTTGTTGGAAATAAGTGGTGTCTACTTAACGTGGACAAATCAATAAAGCAGCCAAACAACGTGTGTAATGTATGATTGAAAACTTTGTGGCGAGCAGCTCTTCCATCATTATCCACTGAACACATCACTGTTCTCTGTGTGAATCAGGACAAGTTGGAGAAGGAGGAGAAGAACACTGCAGAGAACCTGCGGAAGCTGAATGAAGGCTGGAGGGCAATTCTCTGTCAGACTCGAGACCCTGAGCTTCGTCAAGAAATCTCCATCTTCAGTCAGACTTTTGAGCGGCAGCTGGAGGGCTTGGACAGCATCATCAAGGTGGGCCGCTGCTGCGAGATTCAACCTGTCCTTCACACTGACATTAACGTCTTTGCTCTCAGTACGCCACTTCCTGTTTCCTTGTTTGTTGTGCAGGACCTGGTGTGTGACTTGCAGGAGAAGGAGCGTCAGTCGGCTCATGGGCGCCGGGCTCACCTGCAACGTTTGGAGCATCTGTGGGCTCTGCATGAAAAATGGATGATGTTTGTGCAGCAGCACTGGGAGAATGGCATGCAGCAGCTGAGCTCCAGGTTTAACTCTGAGGGGTCAGTCTGAGGAGCTCCGCGAAACACAAAACAAAATACTCATCATTTAGGTTTTCCTTCAGTGATTTATAGTGGAGCTGCATCACGGCAAAGACTGTGTGTTTAATGAGTGAGCTGACTGTTTTGCTACTGACTGCAGTGTTACTGACCACACACTTCACACAATGACTGCAAAAATACAAAATGACCACAAAGAGACACAGAATGACAACAAAGAGACAGACTGACTACAAAGAGACACATAATGACTACTAAGAGACACTAAATGGCTACAGGGAGACTACCAAGAGACACAATGACTACAAAGAGACAGTAAATGACTACAAAGAGACAAAATAACTACAAACGGACACTCAAAGAGACAGAATGACAACCGAGAGACTAAATGACTCCAAAGAAACACAGATTGACTACAAAGAGATAGAATGATTACAAGGAGACACAGTGACTACAAAGCGACTAAATGACTACAAAGAGACACAGAATGACTACAAAGAGACACAATCACTACAAAGATACACAAAATGACTACAAAGAGACACAAAATGACTACAAAGAGACACAGAATGACTACAAAGAGACACAGCGACTACAAAGAGACACAATCACTACAAAGATACACAAAATGACTACAAAGAGACACAGAATGACTACCAAGAGACTAAATGACTACAAAGAGACACAGAATGACTACAAAGAGACACAGAATGACTACAAAGAGATAAAATAACTACAAAGGCACACAAAATTACTACAAAGAGACACAATGACTACCAAGAGACTAAATGACTACAAAGAGACCCAGTGTGACTACAAAGAAACACAGAATGACTACAAAGAGACACAATGACTACAAAGAGAGGTTTAGATGTTGATATTTGTTGTGTGCAAGTGGAGGTGTCACCAAAACCATTATGGATTATCTACTGCTTCATTATGCTCATAATCTATGTGTGAATGGTGTGTGTTTCAGGAAGCAGATGTCAGCACACTCTCAGCAGCAGCGAGCTGATCTGGAAGACGCAGTGCTCACTGTGGAGCAGCAACACAAAGAAGTGATGGTTGAAATCCACAGTCTGCACAGTAACTGTATTGGAGCGTATGAGAAGGCTCTAAAGAAGAGGGTATCACACAGAACCAGTTCTCTCAACCTTACTGAGTCAGGTATATGACAGGTGTCCCAACTGAGTCTCTGAGGTTTGTCTCCTGTCTCTTCCTCTCACTGTTTTGGTCCAGGATGGCAAGGAGACGCTGAAGGAGGAGAGTCTTCAGATCCAGGAGGCTCTGCTGTTCTGCTGCAGAAAAAAAGAAGAGGTGGAAAACCTGGTCACCAGAGAGCAGCTTTACTTTCACATAACAGCTGAAAAAATGAAGGAGGTTAAAGAGCTGCAGGTCAGGGCAGAGAGGGAACATATATCTATTATACCTGTTGACTGGTATATCATATATACATATATATATACAGTATATATATATATATATATATATATATATATACATGGTATATATGTATAAAACATATGATTCACTGCCACATTTGTGTTTCATATATAGATATATACTTAAGTTATGCAAGAATAAGGTCGTTTGTGGTTAACAGAAGCTCGAGACATATTAACGTTTCATTCTCCAACATAAAATCAGTCAGTAATTACCCCACTCCTGATTTCATGAAGCTTTTACATCTTGGTTGCTAACAAATGTCTAAATGAGACTACAGAGGTTGTTCAGATCTACTCACCAGTCCACCTTTACAGGAAAGGCTTTTGTAGAAGAGGTCAGAGCTAAATCAAACTACAAGTTGAAGTTTATTTGTGGTGATGTTGAAGTCATGTGTCTTTGGTGTAGTTGGTTTATAGCCTAACATTATCTTTTTACTTCTGCTGATTGTATTTTGAACATCATAAAGTAGTGTTCATTAGTGAAGATGATCCTGCTGAACAAAACCTGTCAGGATCAGAAACTTTCATTTATTTTCTATAATAATCCGAAAGACACCATCCCTGCAGTGCCCTATTATATCTTTACCTCCAAGACTTTCCCAAAAAAAATCTGAGGATTGACTAAAAGTGATACAAACTGAGCAAAGTTGTGTACTTCCTACACATACCAACACAAAGTACAACGTCGCACAAAATCGCACAGATAGTTGTAAGAACTCGTCTCCTGGTTTCTGTGTGATGGTTGGCTGAGGTGACAGTGAGAAGTGGTGGAGATGATCCTTGTGGACTCTTCTGATCATCTGGATGATGAAATATGACGTGTTATTGTTGCTTTGTGTCTTTGCTCTGCCAGGAATCAGTCATTCAGCTGAGGGAGAAGCTGAACTCCTGTCTGACAGAAAATGAGTCAAAGGAACAAGATCTGATGGCCTCCAGCAACGAGGTGAATAAAAAGACTGACGAGCTTCGCCAGCAGCTGAGTCAGGGTCGCTCGGCAGCCAGGAAGCAGCTCATGCACCTCACCATACAGAGCAACAACGCCATCAGGAAACTCCAGGCAGTGATCACCAAGGTGAAATCTGTCACACTGTCTGTCTGTTGACAGAGCTACAACTGTGTGATCCATCTGTTCTCACTCTGCACTCACTCTACTTTCTTTAGGGGGAGAAGGTTTTACGTGTCGCTGAAATGTGTCGGAAGCTGGAGAGGAAGCATGAAAAGGTCCTGACATCATCATCATCATCATCATCATCATCATCATCATCATCAGCAGAGAATCACAGATCTGTGACTGAGGAGGAGGAACCTGCAAAGGTAGGCTTTGATCTAGGCTGGGTCTGGGGTCTTCCTGTTGGACAGACAGACAGACAGACAGACAGACAGGCAGGCAGGCAGGCAGGCAGGCAGGCAGGCAGGCAGATAGACAGACAGACAGACAGACAGACAGACAGGCAGGCAGACAGACAGACAGACAGACAGGCAGGCAGATAGACAGACAGGCAGGCAGGCAGGCAGGCAGACAGGCAGACAGACAGACAGACAGACAGACAGACAGACAGACAGACAGGCAGATAGACAGACAGACAGACAGACAGACAGGCAGGCAGACAGACAGACAGACAGACAGACAGACAGGCAGGCAGATAGACAGACAGACAGACAGACAGACAGGCAGGCAGACAGACAGACAGACAGACAGACAGATAGACAGACAGGCCAAACTGAGCTCTGTGTCTCTCTCTGTAGGAGTCATCTGAGTTTCCAGAACTGCAGCAGTTGAGGCAGCGCATGAACACGGCTCTGCTGCTTCGACATGCTCTGAAGAAACAGAGAGAGGACCTGAGCCGACAGAACCAGCAGCTGAGGCTTCAGCTGCGTCAGCAGGTGGACGACATGAACACCAGCGACTGCGCCCTCGACGCACACCATGCTTTGCTCACTGTATCCCGAGCCCCGACCACTGCGGTCCCACTGAACACCAACAGCCGGCGCAACATCACCAAGGCTGTTCACGCCGTCAAACATAAAGCTTCTCCAAAAAAAATCTGAAGCACCTGTGAAACATGATGTCATTAACAGTCTGTCAACCACCAGAAAAACACTTTGGCATTGTGTTGCTGATAATTGTTTTCTTTGATAAATATATAAATAAAACTGTAAAGGTTGTCTGACCTTATTATAAAACCAAACATTTGGTTGTAACCAGGACATCTCTGCTGAGAGAGGGAGGGAGTCACAACACACACACACAAACACACATACAAAATAACTGATAAATTGACCATTGATGTGATGCAGCTAAGAATAACTTAATGAACTATTTATTTTGTTGATTTTTCACTAAATTGATCAATTATTCAGTGTATGCAGTTTGGAAACAGACAAATAACTGGTCCAAACTTTAATTAAAACTTTTAAAATAACATAGGAACTTTCTTTTTATCATAATTGACAGAAATATGAACTGATTTTCAAACATATACACATAAACACGGTTAGTATTGTGTTGATTAAATAAAAAAAATGCTCCTCCACAATTTAACTGGTGACAGATCATCATGGAAAATAAAACATTTTTAATAGTGATGAGGCATTTAATTTTCAAAAACAGCTGATTGTGCATTTATGAGGGCATGGAGAGAAAAAATGAACAGAGACCGATCATACACACAAGAAGCAATAACAGTGAAGGGGACAAAACAAAGTGTGCCTGAACAGGCAAATTAAAACTCACCCGATGGTCACTCTGAGCTCCAGAGATCCTGTGTGGAGACGGAGAAACTTCCAGAAGAACACCCAATTTTAAGCTTGACCAAAATCCTCAGTCCTGGTTTCATTAGACCAAAGAATCTGTTTTCTCTCAGTCTCAGAGTCCTTTAGCTGCATCTTTACAAACTATCACTGAGGAGAGGCTTCGTCTGGAAGCTCTGACATAAAGCCCAGATCAGCGGGGAGCTGCAGTGATGGTTGTCCATGATTATGAGTTGCTTTTCTATTCTACAATGTTAATAGTGCATCACATACAGACATGTAATATATATGTCCCTATATCAAGAGTGATGTTGCCATATATGTCACCTATAAGGGGATATATTATCACATATATACATATGTTACAACCCGGCTCACAGGGGAAAAGGGAAGCAACACAAAACCCAGTTGGTATTAGGTATAAGGTTGTTTATTGTAACATAGATTGCAAAAAGAATGGTTCATATGGACACAAAACACAAACCAAGGAATGGGGCCGGTGGGTGCTGTCCAAATCAAAAACAGAATATAACAAAAGGAGGACTCTCTATGAGCTAATCAGTAAAACCAGTTACCCAATTGAAAGTAAAAGGAAAAACAAAACTGGCTACCAAGGCCGACTAAAGAACAAAAACACACCAGGAACAGCACCCCTGCACCTAGTGTGTGTAACAAAACAAATTGCTACAAGTGGAGGAACCAGTAAAATCAGTTTAAGTATAAACTCTAAACCTGACCCCACTTCCAGGCTTCCAAGATTACCATCAGTAAAATACCACAAACAAAACTGTTGCAAAACAAGCGACCACTCTCTGCTATCTCACTGTTCACACACAAGACAAATATTCTTTCCACAAAGAGGCGAGCTGCCACTAACAGTCAGCTGCCCCGACTGACAGACGGGCCGGAGCTTTATAGCTGGGTGTTCCTGATTGGGCGGCAGGGATTGGCCAGCTGCAAGCACACCGCACCAATTAGGCAAGAGAGGGTGGAGCATCCGTGGGGACAGGAGCAGGCCGCTCGGCAGGCAGCCTGGCAAACAGAAAAATTAAACACAACAAAAGTGGCCAGAGTAGCGGCCGTAACAACATACGATATATGATGATATAAGTATATAATGTACATTAAATGCCCGGGTTCGAGTCCCGGCTCGGACACGGGGTCTTTCTGTGTGGAGTTTGCATGTTCTCCCCGTGCCTGTGTGGGTTCTCTCCGGGTACTCCGGCTTCCTCCCACAGTCCAAAGACATGCAAATGGGGACTAGGCTGATTGAATACTCTAAACTGACCATAGGTGTGACTGTGAGAGAGGATGGTTGTCTGTCTCTGTGTGTTTGCCCTGCGATGGACTGGCGACCTGTCCAGGGTGTACCCCGCCTCTCGCCCGAAAGGGATAGGCTCCAGCCCCCCGCGACCCTACCAGAGGATAAACGGTAGAAAATGGATGAATGAATGAATGAATAAATGCCCATAGTAAAATTTGTACGTATACATATATTAAAAGTCTATTTTAATCTATGTGATGCATTTTTACATAGAAAAATTATGTATGAACATAATATAATTTATTTATTTATGCAAGTTTATAAAAACAACATACATGGTAATATATATATTGGGAGTTCTCTCTCTCCCCTCCCAGAAAGCAGGGCCCTGATAAGTTGTGGTTTGGTTTTGGTTTATCTTTATTTTATCACTTTATTGATTTCATGTTTTACACATTCATGCAGTCACCTCACTACTGATTCTGCTGATATACATGTGCCACTTGTGTTTTTGCTTATTATTGGTTAAATTTGATTTGGCTTTAAACTTTAACTATTTGTGCTTTTAACAACCTCAGGCATCACTTCGTTACACTGGTAACATGTCTTCTTTAGCATCTTTGAAAAGTGCTGTGAGTCAGGAGGCAGTGGAGATGTGTCTAGTGTCTTTGAAGTGGCACTATGTAAAAAGTGGCGTTGCCACCTGCTGACACAGCTTTGAGAGCTTTGACAGAATACTCCTCTGTTTCTGGTGGAATTACAGTGAGCTTTCGTTGACCACTTCCACCTTCATTGAAAGAGAAAGAGAAAAAAGAAAGAAAAGAAAGAAAAAAAAACCCAAAAGGAATCTGTTTTAGTAATGGAAAAATGACATTTTGCCATCAGTCTGCCATCTCTAATACAACTAGTAATCAGTGTGGTATAAGTGCTCACACATTTCATTAACAACACTGAAGAATGGGATGTGATAATACAAAAAAACACACAAAAACAATCTTGATCTTACAAAGCTGTTACCTTATGCAAGAGCCATACTCCACAAAGAATTTACACTTTTGGAAAGGTTTCAGCCAGGAGCCTTGAAATCTTAGTTCACAACAAAGTAAAGACAGAGAGAGAGAGAAAATTGTTAAATAATGACAGTGGCATATGAGTTAGGTTAATGTGTCTTCCAATGACCACCTTTAATACTTAGTCAAACAACTGGACTACATCTGTGTGGTCCCTGTCTTCAGGAAGAGACACTGTTTGTCTTCCCATGCCAGCTTGGAGGAGTTCAATCTCCTCATCTGGCAAAGGTGTGTGGGATGTGTTTTTTTGGCAGCAGATAAAAATTGAAGGCAGTAGTCTTACTGGTTGCCTTTATAAGCTGCTTGGTGGAAGTTAAACACCTCTTTTTACTGACTGAACTTGGATTTGAAATATTCTGGAAAAGATCTGTAGGGCAAAAATGTATGACAATTTTTTGATAATGATCAAGAGCTGCATAAAAATAGAATTAAAACTTTTTTCTAAAGCTATTAAAACTATGTCCAGCTTGTCTAACATATTTGAATTTAAATGTCTTCTTTGTCAATAAGACAGAAAACCAAATGACAAAATCTCATTCATGAAAAATGCAAATGAAAAAAATGACTGAATAAGCAAGCACAAACCTTATCATCTCTTGCTGGACAGTGACATTTCTAGGCTCTGGCTGTCCAGTCTCTGGATGCCTTGCTAAACCATTTCAGGCCATAGTGTTAAGCAGCAAGGATACTAGGTTTCTGGCAGCTGACACAACTGTACCATGACCCTAAATCAGTTCAAGATGTAATGTAAAGATGTTTTCAGATGAACATGCAACAACTACACATAAAACTTACCATATATTTAGGCTTAGATTACTCAGTAAGAAAATACAGCAAATCTGGACTGAAGCTACTTTGACTGATAAAAACCCCTCAAACTTTTTGAGTTTTGTTTGCAAAAGAAGAACACGTTTATGTGAGCCATGCCTCGCCCAAAAAGAGCTTTCAGAGGATCTACGATCAAGAATTGTTGATTTACATAAAGCTGGCAAGGGTTACAAAGTGATTTCAAAGACTTTAGAAATTCACCAGTCTACAGTTAGGCAAACAATCTACAAATGGAGACACTTTGGGACTGTTGCTACTCTACCAAGAAGTGGACACCCAGTCAAAATGACACCAAGAGCACAACGAAGACTCATCAATGAGGTAAAGAAACAACCCCGAATGACAGCCAAAGATTTGAAGGCATCATTGGAACTGGCTAACATCTCTGTTCATGAGTCTACAATACGTAAAACATTGAACAAGCAGGGTATCTACGGCAGGACACCACGAAGGAAGCCACTGCTTACTAAAAAGAACATTGCTGCATGCCTGTACTTTGCAAAAGAGCACATTGACACTCCACAGCGGTATTGGCAAAATGTTTTGTGGACTGATGAAACTAAGATTGAACTATTTGGAAAAAATACCCAGCAATACATCTGGCGTAGAAAGGGCATGGCATATCGTCATGAAAACATCATCCCAACCGTAAAGTATGGTGGAGGAAACCTCATGATTTGGGCCTGCTTTGCTGCATCAGGGCCTGGCCAGCTTGCAATCATTGAGGGGAAGATGAATTCCCAAGTTTATCAGAGAAATCTTCAGGATAATCTGAGAATGTCTGTACATCAGCTGAAACTCTCTAGAATGTGGGTGATGCTACAGGACAACGACCCAAAACACCAGAGCAAGTCCCCAACAGACTGGTTCCAGAAAAACAAAATCCGCCTTTTGGAGTGGCCAAGTCAGAGCCCAGACCTCAACCCAATAGAAATGCTATGGATTGACTTGAAGAGAGCCATACACATGAGATGTCCAAAGAATATGGCAGAGCTTAAGCAGTTCTGCCAGGAAGAATGGGCAAAAATTCCTCCTCAACGATGTGCAGTTCTGATCCAGAGCTACAGGAAGCGCCTGGTTGAGGTTATTGCTGCTAAGGGGGGGTCAACCAGTTATTAATTCTAAGGGTTCACTTACTTATTCCACTGCCATTTTGAATGTTGAATGAGT